AAAAAAAGAAGAAGAAATTTGCTGATTTTGGCTTAAAATAAGATTCTTTGTTAAACTTTTGCTCCCCTGGATCTTATACTTGTACCGCCATCTGTGCTGCTGCAGAATTCTCTGCTAGATTTCAATTAATCATTTATCGAGTGCCATGTCCTCTCTTGTCTCCGGTGTAACATCCTGGTTATTCCTAATTCATAGGAAGTTTTACTGTAGTGTGTTTGTGTGCTTGTAAAAAGCTCTGACGTCATTGACGCTTGAGATGCTGAAAGACGGCACAAAAAGACAATACCTCCAAAATGATTCTCTTCCTGTGATCGTCTCCACAAGTAATCTGGGCCACAACAAGTAGATTTTCCTTGAACTCCACATGTAAAGCTCGATTTTCTTACACACTTTTAAAGGGAAGAATGCAAATGGATTGACCAAACTTTTCTAGTGTTGCTGACTAGTCACTTGCTTTAGACTACAAAACATTACACTGAGATTAGCAATTTTAAAGCTTTTAATACAGATTGGGTTAAATAATTTTATAGCCTCGATGTTGACACCGTTCTGTAGCTTGATGGAAAATACATGCTGTGTAACTATCATGATGATTTCAAAGTTCACCGTCATTCCTGGAAGCAGCAGCTTACATAACAAAGTCACCATAAGGTCCACCTTCAGAGGAAGAGTTTGATAAATGATTGAACGTTTCAGCTGCTGGATGAGATTGTTGCGTCAGCCACTTAACAGAAGAACAATTAATCTTTAACTCATTTTGAAATATAACTTCCTCTGTAATTTTGGCAAGCAGAATTTATATTCACAGTGGTGAAGGTGTTTCTAAAATTTTGTACAACCCAAGTGATTAGTATTCAATTTAAGTACTTATTAAAACACAGATATATTAAGAGTAAATTAATTAATTTCGCTTTACTGGTTGATCCTTTCCCAACCTCAGTTAAGGTCACAAGCTCTGGGTAGTGAACTTAAGAGGTGAGGTGCTCACCTACCCCATCTCCAAGCATGAGCAGCTGATTAGCCTCAGCATCTGACTAGGATGCCTAGGTGTCTCTCACCCCAACTGATGGCCCCCGCGGAGGTTTCTTCCTGTTAAAAGGGATTTTTTCCTTCTCTCTGTCGCCAAAGTGCTTGGTCATAGGGGGTCATGTGATTGTTGGGTTTTTCCTCTGTATGTATTATTGTAGGGTCTACCTTACAATATAAAGCCCCTTGAGGCGACTGTTGTTGTGATTTGGTGCTGTACAAATAAAATTGAATTGAACTAGGTGGTGAGCTGTTTCAGTTATGTCCTACCAGGAGGAGGCCTTGGAACAGACATGTTGAGGGATTACATCTCTTGGCTGGGTCGGGAACTTTGGTGTTCCTGCCCAAGAGCTGGAGAGGAAAGACTTGGCGTCTCTTCTTGGATGGATTATATTAATTATAAATTTGTATGTTATTTAATAATCAAATAATTGCTGTCTATCTGTAAAATGGCTGTCAGGTCATTAACATAATCCTTTGAAAGCGATGGAAAATTGTGCAGATTAAATGTTATGTTTAATATACTTTTTATGGAAAACAAAATGGTGTCATGAGTTGCCAGCCAAATAATATTCAGTAGGTTTGTTACAGGTTATCATCAAAAGGAAATGATAAATCCTTGGATGTGGAAAACTGTTCTTTTTAAAACTTCTTTACAAACTTTGTGTGTGATTTAGGTTCCCTACGTCACTACAGCTCTCATTATGACGTCATCTATTTAGTTATGGTAAAAAACATTACTGCAAATGCAGCCGCCTAATTACAAATCTTTGCTCGAGGGATTCTGCTATTGATGATCACCTGTAATACATAAATGTAATGGAATGTGGTGGAGTGTAAATGGGAGATGAGTTATTAATTATTGATAAGTTATTATTCGAGTCATATGGATTGCCTTGAACTGCCAGCTGATCGAGGCACCAATTGAAATCATACAAGAGCTCTAAGCTGTTACGGAGCGTCTGTTCTTTGATAACTTGATTTTTATGCCTTTTTTATTTTTCAGTTTTAACCCGCCCCTGTGGGGTTGAAAGAAAATTGATCAGACTATTTTCTAGTTGCTTTGATTAGATCATTATCAACATGAAATGAGTTTCCTGCTCTACTTTCCGTGTTTCCTGCAGGTCCTCCGTGCTCCTTCTTGCCCCTCTTCTGGCTGAAACCGACCCAGCCCCTCATCGCGTCTCCAGGCCCACAAGCTCAGCCGGAGCCCAGCAAACAGAAGGTCTTTGCAGCCACTTCCGATGGATGGCAGAGCATGTACCAGCCTTCCGGGTGCCAGGCTCCCACATCCACATTCTGACGTCACCTGACCAATTCTACCAGGCAATGAAGGTCTGTCTCAGAGCATGTTAGCTGGTTTGACTTCACAGGATTTATTTTAAAAATGAGAACAAAGCTCTAGTCTGTTCAATATGAAACTTGATAGACGTGTGTTGACTTTTAATACATGTATCACTATGAAATTCCACAAGGTAACCAAGGAAGCGTTATTATCACAGTAGACTCTTCTCTGTGTACTCTGCTGCAGTGTCCACATTGCAGGTGACAATGATTAATTGTTCAAACATGTTTTAGTTGATGCTGACGAGAACTTGAGGAGGAAACTGGCATCCAGACATAATTTTTCTGGTATAAACAATCTGGAAAAACAAGGTACTTTTTAAACACTAAAATAAAAACTTGAGGTCACATGTTAATTCCCGTCTTAAGAAGATGATATCAGATTCACGTGTTCCACAAATTTAGTTTAGTTCTATCTCACTCAATGTTCCCTCTAATTTTTCATGTGTCTGAGCGAACACACAAACTCCCTGAGCGGTCCCTTGGACCACTGTGAGCAACAGCAGACGTGTGCACTGTGGTCACGCCAGCATCGAATCCATCCAAGTTACATGGTTTATTAAAATAATCAAATTACAGCATTTATGTTAGACTACTTTTACTGCTTTAGCCCACTTACAATGAAAATTTAAAAAAAATCTTGTTCATGACCTGTGTAGTATGTTAACACTATTGGAAGTAAAAATAACTTCAATTTTGAAAACAAAACTTTTTTAAATTAATTAATTTTTTATATAAGTCTGTAGTCTGGGAGAGAGTCCTGTAACTCTGTCTGCAAAATACAGTAAATAATGACCAATGTTGGGCAATTAATTATATAGTTACTTCTTCAAAAAAGTAACTGAGTTATGCAAACAACAAAGTTTTTTGCAGCTGTTTACCTAAAAATGCAGCCAAGCATTTTTTAAATAAACATTTCAAACTATTTACAGAACAATCAGCTGTTCTGCATCAAATTTGATGCCACACAAATTATTTGTGCCACTCCAAAAAATATTTCTGTCCACTATGAGATAAAGGAGAACAACAGCCTGATACCTGCAGGCCTGACAACAGGAGATGTAACACCTGTAACATTCAGCAGTCGCCTCATTGTTCTGACACACACAACAAAACTATTGACTACACTACACACTAACTACACAAGATTTGCGCTAAACATCGCAAATCTCTCACATCTCAAAACACCGCCGTCACTCCTAAAACTTCCCTCCTTCCTAAACAACTAAATGCCATGTTGCCATATCATTTTTTGATTGGTCGACATGGTACATTTTTCCACCAATAGGAAAGGGTGGGGTTTTTTTGGTTTTGTTTTTGCTCACAGGTGGAGAGTGCTTTCGAGCGTTTTCCTTATAAAACGCCATTTTTACCAGTTTCTTCCCGCAGTAAATATAAACAACGATAGTATTCAGGAAGAAAACCAAACATTGCATATATTTTTATCATAACTCTGGTTTTACGTGGCCTATCAACACAATTTAAAAACTGGTATAAAGTCCACACTTTTCCCATCAATTGTTCCGTCTGTCCTGCTCACATCTCCAATGGTTGTACACGTTGTCATTAACGTGGCTTCACTCCACATCAGCCACGCCGCTTTGCTAGCTAAAACACCGGTGTCGGCACATAAGGACGCTGTCATAGCCTGTCAACGACGTTGATTAGCTGCGTATATACGAATGTGAATCGCATTATTGGCTGGACTATGGGATAAGGTGGCATCGTTCTAATCCCATACGGGAGCAGCCAGTCACTTACTGACTAACACTGCAAAACAGAATTGTTAAAGTATTAATTTTAATTTCAATTCAGGTTAGATTTTTTTTTTGTGCGCAACGCAGATTTTCTGTGCGCAGAGACCGTGCCAGCAGTGCGCAATTGCGCATGCGCGCAGATTAGAGGGAACATTGCTCACATTGTTCATTTTTATTCTGGTTTTAACACTCTACAAATGGGTTCTTTTAGTTTCTGTAGTTTTAAATGTAGATGTTGACATCTTGTAACCGCGACGTTTTCTTTGTGAGTATTTATTACACGGCGTGCTGCGGGGAAAAGCCTGTTCTAACGTTTGAGTCTAAGGTTTATTTTTTAGCACCTGGCGGCTCTTTTTTTACTTCTCATCCGTAAATAATCTGCTCTTTCACGTGATTCAGTTTATTTTGAAAAGTCTCAACAGGATCTTGAGCTTTATTGTGAAAGGTTTATGTGGAACATAAACAAGCGGACACGCGATGCTGTTACCGTCGTTGTTGCTAACCACAACGCATAAAAACAGGCGCTTGTCCGTCAGTAGTGTGGTTATATTAAATATAAGAGAAAGAGAGAACTTTAAGAAATTAATATAGCCACTACAGTGACCATCAAAACGATGAAAAAATATTGCCGTAAACAGTTTATTTTGCGACACCACGAAACAAACGATAGCGTAAAATGAAACGATAGACGTTTTTATATCGTCATCCGATATATATCGTTATATCGAACAGCCTAGTTGGCTACTTCGCGGGTTTCGCCTGTCACGGGCTATTTTTAGAATGTAACTCCTGCGACAAACCAAGGACCACTGTATACTGAACCAGGTTGTTTTTTCAGTGTTAAACGAAGGATTACATGCTGGAGAAAATGGTGCCATTCAGTTATAGTGTGAGAAGAGAAAGACGAGATATGTGAGTTTAGTTTTTTTTATTTTATTTACGGCTGTAAGTAGGCTCTGTGCCCAAACTTTATTTCCTTCTGAAAAATTGAGACTCATCCAGGAAGTATATTTCACACATAAAATCCAAAGTTGCAGGCTTTGGGGCTGAAAAATGAAGCTAACATAGAATTGCCAAAAAGCGGTTTCTGGAATTGGTTTCCAAAAGCAAACTGATCCCCACCGATCCTCATCTTAGAATATCCCGACTACAGCTGTAACTAAAACAAACGGTTTACAATCTGGTACAAAAATGTTCTCTTTTATAACAAATTTACCCGTCCATAAACACTTGATTACTTTATTTTAAATAACTTGTTGTCACTTTACATTTTGTTAAAATTAAAGTTGGTATTGCGAGTGAATTGTCAGCTTAATTAGGAACTCTCCACTGTGTTTGTGGTGTTGGTGCCTTTTTGAAGCATTTTAACATAATTGAAGATAGAAATATTAGGGGTGCAACGATACACAAAATTCAGGGTTCAGTTCGATACTTTGGTGTCACGGTTCGATATTTTTTTTTCGAAAAAAATGTTCATGCTTTTTTAATTTGTTATTTATTAAAGTTATAAATATATATTTTAACTCAAACATAACAGGTTTTTTTTAATTTAATGTTGCTGAAACAACAAAGGGATAAAATAATAAATCTATCTGATTGAGAAATCACTCATCTTTGGAAAAGAGAGTTTATTACAGAGAAATGGCTCTTTCCAAAATAAAAGTTATACTATATGCTTCTTCTGGGCTATATTCTCAGCAGCATATTAAACATATCAGGTCCCCATATGGAGAATCATGTGCTACCGGCTGTCTAAATGACTCGGGTAAAGTTTGTAGCATGCATGCTTGTTGTTTTTGTTTGCTTCCACTTGTCTTTGCACTAGGATGATGTCGGCGTAAATGTGCAGTCATATTCACTGTGTTCCCACTAGTGCTGTCAGCGTTAATCTGAAATGACGTTAACACCACAACACGGCAAATCTCCGTTAACGAGCTACTGCGGATCGCCCCGTGCGTGGGGCGTCAACACATTAACAAGCACACTGCGACATACTGTTTTACTTTTGTCCATGACGCGCTTACCTTCAGGGTCATACTTCACATGAAGACCAAAATAGTTCCAAAGACTAGATCTGAATGAGGGTGGGGGAGATTCAATTTGCCATGTTGCAACGAGCTTAGCTTCTGTCTTGCTAGCTTGCACTGCGCTCAGTGGATCTGCGCTCGACAGTGCAGCCTAGGCGGAGTAGTCAAACGCAGATCCACTGAGCTCTCAACACAGACAGCATCGTCAGAAGAAAAGTTGATAAAATAAATTAAAAAAATTTGTATTGTTTGATATGCGTACCAAACCGAAAGCACTGTATCAAACGGTTCAATATCGATATCGTTGCACCCCTAAGAAATATAGATTACTGTGCAGAGAAGTTTACTAACAGCACTTTCAAAGTCTGTACTTCAGTTTTAGTGAGTTAGATTGTGCTTGTTACTTAGCACTGATTATCAGGTTTATGTATTTGTTATGTGCAACTATTCAATTTATGGATCCCGTTTGCTTAAGCAAACAGCATTGGTGGCAGTTCTTGCACGTTAACTGATAACTTGGTACTCGTGTTCCAGATGCTCAGTTCCATCTTGTAAAATCAAACTCGGCGACAACCATAATGGCGAAGTTGTAGTTTCAAAACAGGATTTTACAAATCGATGGGTGACATCACAGTGGTTACAGTCTGTACTATATAGTATTTAGTAACATCCCAGTAAGTATAGTTTACTTTGCTCTTAGTTGAGACAGTTTAGAGGGGGAACTGCTTTGAAGAAAATGTGCAGAGATTTCGATGATAGTTGCAGACTATTATTTACCCGATGGTGGATGAGAATGATAAATTTAAATGCCTCAGTCTCTTAAATAATGAAATAAAATAACTGAAACACCTTTTAAAATGCTAAAATTTCTGTATTTCTGATAAGATAATCCTGAAAGAAAGTCTGACTTTTACAGTGTAGTAAATAGATAAACCAAAACTGAAACACTGTGTGCAGAGTCACAGTGAGTAAACGCATCAAAATAAAGCTCAACTATTAAAAAGATGTTTGTTTGTTTTTTTAATGAAATAACTACGCCACCACATTGAAGTCCTTTTTAATATTTCTTAGAACAAGGGGGCATTTAAAGCTTCAAAGAACAAAAACACATGATTTTCTTCCAAGTTACACGTCACCCATGTGACTTTCAGGCAGGATCCTCCTTCATGCAAATCCACAGTTAGACTTGAACAATAAGAGATTTGTTATATGCAAGAAATTGGCTCTTAATTCTACTTAGGAAGAATTTCTGTTTCATTTTATTATCACTTGGAGCTCAGATGCAATCACAGTGCTTCTATAAATATAAATGTATATTAGAAGGTTTGAAAACGGTGCATGAAATATAAAGCATTTTAATGGTCAAACGTGTCATATTTGCATAAGAAAAACTATTGATGTTAAAAGGATGTTACCGGAATGTGTTGAATGGGTGTGATTATGTTGACTTTTCCTCATTGCTGGGAAGGTTTCACCTGAAAGTATTTTTAGATCACCTCTGGCACAAAATCTACTCTTTCCGGTTTCGTCACTTACGGTCAGAAGACTGTTTTTATCACTTGTAGTTGAATGATCAAGTCGCAACATTTGTAGCATGAGAAGCCAAAAGAAAGAGGAACTTTTGTGGTTGTCTAACTGGTATTTAAACAAGCAAGAAGATCTTGCTGCATTAAGGTGCAGAAATATTTAAGGATTTTTTTTGTTATTCACTAAGATGTGCGTGCTTTAAAGGGACACTTCCCACAAATTGTAAAACATCGTTGTATTTCTTCTGCCCTGAGTGTTATTAATAATCTCCACAGACGGTAAAAGGAATTTTGTTTTTAATTACGGTTTAGTCTACCTTTTAAAGAAATCATACCTGTTTTAAAATCTGACATTTAAAAAAAAAAATTTTTTTTAAGCAAAACCAAATAAATGTTAGTTTTACAATTTTTGTGTCTTACAAAAATGTAAATGATTCATTTGAATTTTAGGGTATCATTCTGGGTTTGAGAAAATCACACTTAGCATTTATCATTGCTTTTTTTAAAAAAAAATCTTCTCATAACCCTTTTATATGGGAATCTAACTAGATGATAACTTGAAGGAGGATTTTTTTTATTTTAAGTTCTTTGAATGCCCTGAAAACGTTATTCCCACTCAGGGAAAGGACAAATGATTTGTGACTCCTTATCTTACGTGCTATTATTTGTTTACTTAACCAGGAGTTATAGATCAGCATAATTACTCATTTCAGGCAGCGTGTTGGTGCAGCCCAGTTAGCCCTGTCGCCTCATGGCAGGTAGGAGTCTGTGTGGAGTTTGTATGTTCTGCCTTCTTGGGTTCTCACAGGTTTTCTGGCTTCCTCCTTCAGTGCAGAGAGATGCATATTAATAATAATAATAATAATAATAATGGATTGCATTTATATAGCGCTTTTTCGAGAACCTCAAAGCTTGTACTATTCATTCACTCTCACATTCACACACTGGTGGAGGCAAGCTACAGTTGTAGCCACAGCTGCCCTGGGGCAGACTGACAGAAGCGAGGCTGCCATATCGCGCCATCGGCCCATCTGGCCAACACCAGTAGGCAAGTAGGGTAAAGTGTCTTGCCCAGGGACACAACGACCCGGACAGAGAGCCCAGGGATCGAACCGGCGACCTTCCGGTTACAGATGCGATTCCCAACCCCCTGAGCCACGGTCGCCCAAGGTTAGGTGCTTGGAGCTAGAAAAATGGTGGTAAAGGATAAGGGGTATAGCACTGTATGAATGTATGGTTAAGTGCTCTGAGTGGTCAGTAAGACTAGAAGACTGCTGTATAAATGCTACTCCATTTCCATTTTGGGTTGTTTTTCTGGACAGCTGATGTTTAGATTCCCGATATTCTCACTGGTTTTGGTCTCTTAATGGCCTCTGAGGGGGAAAAAGTTGATCCTGTAGCTGTCTAGTGGCTCACTGTGTTCAGCAGGTAGTCACTAAGTGTGTGAGTCTGCCATTTAGTGATGAACAGGTAGTTTATACACAGATGGCTCCTTTGGTTTTTGAACAATGATACAGTTTTTGTAGTTTTTGCCTCCGTACACCACCACAGCTGATTTTAAGAAACAGTCAAGATGAGATTCAAGCGCAGGCTTTCAGCTTTACTTCAAGGTTTGTTTTTATTGTTTAGAAATTAAAGTATTTTTTTCCTCACAACATCTTCTCAAGTCAGTCGAGTTGTGGAGGTGGCCAGAGTCAAGAGATGTTTTGTGAATGTAAATACAAAGGGCTTACAAAAAAGATGCGCACCACTGATTGCATTCAAGAACAGGAAGCCCAGATTAGGCTTTACCAGAAATCATCAGAAGGAGCCTGCCCTGTTCTGGGAAAGACATCCTTTGGACAGATGAGGCCCAGATAAACTTATAGTAGAAAGATGAGAAGAGTAAAGTACGAAAGGAAAAGGTATTCATACTTTGCCATAGTCATGTTTCCAGTAACTTCCAGTAGAACCAGGCCACTTACCAGGATGAATGAGGTGTATTGGACTAAATTCTGTGCTCAAAAAAGCAAAGAAATTAGATATTGTTCCATGGCCCCATCAGTCACCTGATCTCAGCCCAATACAGCATCCTTCAGTCTTTAGGATAACCCTGCAAAGGGTGTGTGTGTGTATGTATGTGTATATATATAAATACCAGTCCATCAGCACTATAAATGATTTCATAATGTCACTAAAATGTAAAACATGAAATTCCTTATGTTTTGGGTTTTTTTTCTTTTCTTTTTTTAAAATTACTGACAGTTGGGAGATTTATTTTTTTCACCATAAACACTGTTTCCTTTCCTTATTTGTCAGTCTCATGATTGCACTACAACTGCTTTCTTTCCTTGTGCCCCAGGCCAGGTGCCTGCATGTGGCTACAGGAAATGTACCGGTAACTCCCGTGAATACGTTATCATTTCCTAGTATCAGCTCCCGCCCACATAGACTTACACTCACATTCGCTGTTGGGATTCCTTATTTGTATTTTTTTTTCTCTCCTTTTACCGTAGGCTCGCATCAAGACTGCACAGAGGCGGGTGGTGATGGCCTCCCTCTATCTGGGAACCGGTCAGCTGGAGCAGGAGCTGGTGAGAAAAGTGGCATTTACGCAAGCATGTGCGTGTGTGTCTCTATGTTTTCACAACACTAGAGAATTTAGTTCTGGGCAGGTGAGAACAATACCATTACTGGCCAGAGATGCCAGAAAGTATGAGTCAGACTTCTCTTCCAGGACGCCCACTGCGTGGTTTGTTCAGAATGAAAATGTACTCCAGACCAACTACAAGGAATGACCCCAAAATGCAAGGGTTTATGGGTATAAGGAGACCAGCATTGGCATGTGACAGCCTGCTGTGCTTCATGCTTGAAAAGCCTAGCATAACAACATTAACCCAAAGCAAACCACAGTCTGGAATGATGCTCGTATTTGGCGTTTTTTCATGTTTTTTCAATCTGGTACAAGCAGCAGTGGAGAGGGTGAAATACAGCAAAAAGGCACAGACAAGCCAGCATGCTTAATTACAGTTAAAAGCATTGGGATCAGCTGTGAGTGCTGCCAAACTCTGTAACCTCACAGGATGATGGATTACTAGAAATGTGAGTCAATACGATTTTATTTTCAAGCCTGGGTTTGCTTGAAATTGGACTCGATGAACTGAAGTGCATGCAGTGCAAAAATGTGAGTCTGTTCTTTGGTTTAGACAAAGGAATGCAAATATCAGGTGCAGTTTCAACGTAAAGCCTGGATACACCAACGCAGCCCTGATCCCAGGCTCGGCACAGACTAGATGGTATTCGGTCACGCCTGGAGAGCATATTTACTTAAGTTGTGGTGCAGCCAGTGGGAACAATCTGATATTTGAGGGCAAGGCATGTTTATCTTGAACGTGCTATATGCAAAAGTTATGCAGCGTGCTTATAGTTGTAGATTTTAGGCTAGAGTATTTTGTTTCATGCATTTGCACTTGCAGATAAGCTTTCCCGTTATTCTTTTTGTTTATAGGAGGCATTAAAGAGTCAAGCATTGGACAAGAGGATGGCAAACTAGTAAACAGATATAAATAATACAGGGTCCCCTGTCATAGGGGACAAAACGGGGCACAACTTAGGCAGACGACAACCACACACACACACACACAAGCAAAGAACATAGTGCCACACAGGCAGGTTTGAATCCAGAACCCTCTTACAGTCAATGCTAACAGCCAGACCAGTGCTGGTCTTCAGTATGATCCCTGCTCCACCAAACGTTACATTGTGCACAAAGCAGTCAGACAAGTACCGTTGGCCAAGCTGCCAGAACTCCCACATGGGGAAGCATGATTCATCACTACAGAGAACTTGATTCCCAGTGGTTTGGTTGTGTTCAAGTAGCTTTAACCTACTAGTAAAATTAGCCCAGTATCCCCCAGATCCCATAGAATATGAATTAGTACAGTTTTAATGCAGAAAATCACATCTAGTGGTTTGGAAACCGACAGCACGAATCTTGGTTATTTGTCCGAATATAGAGCTACGGTAGCCTACAGATAGATTACTCCATCAAAAATCAATGCGTGCCCCACCTGACACCCATCAGAATCTGCAGATTTATGTAATATGCAGTAATTTTATTATGTTTAATGAAGCAATGCGAGTTATAGGCCCCTCAAAGGACAGCAAATCCAGGTGTTGCAACCTAAAGCCAGAAGTTTCTGTTCAACACAGGTTTTTATGTTTTTTGCAGCCAACTTTGAGCATCAGTTTCATGGCATATATCAAAGTTTAAACAGCAGAAATGGAGCAATTTAATGTCTATGAAGTAGAGTAACAGAAGCAATCTTTAGTATCCTGAATATTTTATCTGTTTTCACAAGAGAAAACTTGAAAAAGTGCATTTTGGGTCACTGAATAACACTATGAGGGATAGCTGGTTGGTCAACACAACTGTTAACATATAAAAACTCTCCTTTTTTATTTTATTTCCTGGCCATGGTTTCCTCTGTGACAGAAGTCGATGTTAAAAATGCACATTTTGGATTAAGCTTAAGGAACCTTTAGCTCTTAAAAGTCTTCAAATCATAAAGATAAAATTTTTCCAGGTGTCATCAAATGCAGTAAAGCTTCTAGGTTTTTAATTTCCTCATGAGACCCCCCCATCTTTAGCTGCCCCTCCTTTATCTGTCAGGTTGAATTGTTTCCTGTGCGAAACATGCACAAAACTTAAGGTTAACTTAAAAAGCATAAAAGGAGCAACATCTCCTCCATGGTGTGTGTCTGCAGGCCTGGGCTAAGTGTGCCTGCTTAAGATTGACCGCAATAGAGGACTCTTTGTTTTTTTTGGGTTTTTTTTTTTAAATCTACATTTAATAGTATTAGGCGTTTGAGGCAGTCTTGCAGAGAATGATAACAAAATGCTGGTTCTCAGCTTCACAGAAATAAACAGTTTTTTCCTCAGAGCTCCCACTCATTGTCAGATTTACGCCTCAAGGAACTTCCAGAGCTGGAAGTGTTGGTGGTCCCTAAAGAGCTCTCTACTGGAAAGGCGAAATGTTTTACTGGCATGTAAACAGACACTGCGGGGTGACGCATTGTGAATGTATTTGGGCACCAGATGCACAATTTAGCAGAAGTAAAACAGCGCTTGTTTCATATCAGTAGGGATCCAAATACCAAGCAGGCCACAAAAAAGACTTCGCTCGCCACCAGTGGCGTCCTCTGTCGAGCAGCCATTTCCTCTTTGTGTGCCGGGGTGAGTCATTTTTTCCCACGCTCAGTAAGCGGACAATAAAACGGAGCTGATGTTTGATAAATACTGAGAATTAATCAATCGTCATTAACCCGTTTCCTTGTATTGTGTCTCCATCTTGGAACTTTCACTGGAAATGACATTAAAAAAAGGATGAGAACACGGGGAGGAGGAAAAAAATAAGAGCTTTAAATGCCCTTCAAGATGACTAGAAAACTATTCCAGAAGAACACTTAAAGAAATTAAAGGAAAGCTTAACTAATAAAGTTCACATTGTTTTGAAGAATAAAGGTGGTCATACCAAATATTTTACAAACCTTTATTTATTTATTTTTGGCTTATATGCTTCCATGTATGTTTGGACGTTTCATTTTCATTTTGCACATTTCCCGTTATCCTAGAAAAAATATAGAGAAATAAACTTTAATCTTTACTAATGATTAAACTCTTTTCTGTGCAGTTTTCTTACACTCACTCTAACCTATCATGCCTGATGTTCGCCCCTCTCAGAGCCTGGTTGTGCTGGAGGTTACTTCCTGTTAACAGGGAGTTTTTCCTTCCCACTCTCACTAAGTGCTTGCTCATAGTGGTTTTTGTTGTTGTTGTATTTTTTTCTTTTTTGCACAGCAAAGGTGTTTAGAATCACCTTCCAATGTCTTCACTCTGTAAGTAATCTGTCGTTATTGTGGCTGTATTTCCCTTTCTTTGTGGTAGCTGGTTTTTCCCATATCAAATACTCTCAGCATGAGAGAGATGATGAGAGGTTACGCTGTTTTGAGCCACATTAAAGCTTCCCTCATTTCTTAACATTGTTAAATAAAAGTCAAACTTTCGATTAGTGCCTGTCCTGTAGTGTTAACTTGAACCAGGGAAAAAATAATGTTGTAAATGGCACATAATGAATACCTTTTCTTTTCTTTTTTTTCTGTGACTTTACAGTAGGTTAAAATATTTTCTGATGTTTCGAGAACTGCATAAAATGGCTGTTTTATATATTTAACCAGAAAATTTCCTTAACCTCCTGAGACCCAAACGCTTTCATGGCATGCATTTTTAATTTCTCTTTGCTATTTGGGCTGATTGGGACCTGATGAATGTAAAAACAAAGGATTATCTTTTTACCTTTATGTAGTTTCTGAGAAGAGGATATCAGGCCCTTGTAGAGCAAAATTTTGTATTGTGGTCAAGACAACCCAAAATGTGATGTCCACATATGTGGATGCCAGGTCCTAGGAGGTTAAATTAAAATCTTTTTCATGGGAGATCTGGGTAAGAAGGCACACCTTAAACACCTTATTTCATCTGTCAAACAGCTGCAAATTCAAAGATAATCCATTTACAATCAAAATGTGATTCAGTTTTATTTATATTGTACGGTAAAGACACTACAATAATACAGAGTAAACCCCAAGAATCGGACAGCCCCCTATGAGCAAGCACTTGGCAACAGTGGGAAGGAAAAACTTCCTTTTAACAGGAAGAAGTCTGCAACAGGACCAGGCTCAGGGAGGAACAACCATCTGCTGTGATGGTTGGGGGTGAGGGGAGGGAAACAGGACAAAAGACACACTGTGGTGAACCTGTTTATTATCATCACATCTTCTCAGGGAGGACTTTCCCACTATTCCCGTAATTTGTGTGAATACAGCGGCAGATGGGAAGCTTGCAAAATTCTGTAGGTGTTGAGTTAGATGGAAATGGGCTTATTGCTCTTAATCCCACACTTTAAGGGTAGTAGCTCGAGGCTTCGTCAGCGAATTACTGAAACACACATTACTCAAGTCTCTGACTGAAGTGTCTGCCACAATAACCAAGTCACCCTGGAGAACAATTTTCTGTGCCTTACAGCATCTGTTCTAAAAGTGTGGGTCACAGCACAACGCTTCTGTTGTAGTCAAAACTTTCCTGACACAGACAAATGTAGCAAGTGTGGAGAAATGCACACTCACTAAAGATTAGAAACCGTAAACCACCACTAAAAATAACAGTAATCAGAATCAACTACCGCATGCAACTGACACATGGCAGTCCCTAGGGAAGTCTGGGTTTTTTTGTGCAGCCCTCGATCACATGTTAAACTCTTTCTTTAAGGAATTACATGCTAAGTTGATGCAGAATTCTTTTAACTGCGGGTGTTGTGTGTGTGTGTGTGTGTGTGTGTGTGTGTGTGTGTGTGTTGTAGTGTGTGTGTGTGTGTGTGTGTGTGTGTGTGTTTGTTTTTTGTTTTTTTTTTAAAGGTGGACTGTATGGAGGAAGCCCTCCAACGTTCCCAGGACAACATCCAGTCTCCAGACCTGAAAGTCTCCGTATTGCTTGACTACACACGCGGATCACGAGGTTGTTAGCGGTTTCCTGCACTTGGTTAGCACAGAACTCCCCGCTCATCATCCTGATTGTATTTGTGTGACTTGTGTTTCACGTGCAGGAAAGATTAACTCAAGGACCATGCTGCTACCTCTGCTGCAGCGCTTCACATCTCAGATGAGGGTATCTCTGTACCACACTCCAGATTTGAGGGGGCTGCTGCGCTTGCTAGTCCCCCAGCGCTTCAACGAGACCATCGGAGTCCAGCACATCAAAGTCTACCTGTTTGATGACAGCATCATCATCAGTGGGTATGTTGGTGCCAGTATGACCTTTTTCCACACACCCTGTGTGTCTGTTTGAATTCAGAGTGAAGTTTAAAATAAAGTTGTCCCACCTCCAGGCAACGGTCTGTTTTCACAAGCTGCAGGTGCTTACTGGATTAGCTTAAAAATGTTTTCAGTGCTTGTTTTGACGTGCAGTATTCGGGGAAAACGTAGCTCAGTGGGAGCTGCTCCACGGCCAGTGGGCACAGTGCTGCTGTGGTTTCCAGTCCATTTCTCTTCAGAACATAAAATGGCACGCTGACCTTATTCTGCTAAATTGGTGAAAATATTACAGTTACTTTGATGGTACCCTCAAAACGGTAATGCATTAGTGTGCAGGAGGAACAGGGAGAGCACGGGGTCTCGATGCCCTTTGTTCTAAAAAATCCAATGTTGTCCTCCTTTGTGCATCATTGTAAACACAGCCGTATAATGTTAACTAATGTATTAATATGCAGGGTTGCAATACTTTGGAATTTTTTTACTATTATTTTTCTTTCCTTTAGTTTAGTTTTTCTTAGTAAGTAAAAACTAGATTAAAAAACTAAAGTAGGGGTTTTAATATGCATTTGGTGAGGTCAATAATAATAATATCAGAATCAGTGCTAGAGAACATACTTGCTGGGAGTTGACTCACAGTCATGACCTTCCAGTGTCTGCGCCAAAGCCTCCTCACACTAAATGTGTAACTACAGGCATATGTTAAAAGCAGATAATTTAATAAAAAAACATGTTTTTGTTTCAACTGAGTCATTTTTTTAACCCCGGTTTAATTTTTAGTTTCCTTTTAGTTACCAACAGCAACTGTGACTGTTTGCCAATTATGACTGGAAAGCAAGACGTGTTGGTTTGGCGCACTGCCTGTCAGTGCCTTACTACCTTCACTTAAGTCATTCCAGGAAAATTAAGTTACATACTTTAGACAGATAGAATAACAATAACTGAACTTTGTTTTTGTTTGTTAAGACATTTCACACCGATCCTGTTAGTCTTTCAAGGATAAACAAGGCCCTTGCTCAACAGAGCGGAACCAGTTTTGTCTAAACATAACCACAGCAAAGAACTAATTTTAAATTGTATATTTAAGCACTTGGTTACTAGCAGCCTGTTTGCAAAAAAACTCAAAAAACCCATAATTGCTCCAATATTTTTTTTTAAGCTGAATCAAGGAAAAAGCCAAAGATAAACAGAGGGTGACAGGTACTGACTACTGACTAAATCACTCTGCTGTTTTCCTATTAAAATATAAAGAAATGGGTGGTGGCCTAAAGCCTTTGCACAGTGCTGTATGTACAGTGCACTCATTTTTTGTTGTTGTTTAAGTACAAAAATGAATCGTGTGTGTGGGTTAACACAGATGTCTTAGCTTTATAATCTGCTGCACCAGTTTAACGTTGGCTAAACAAGACAAGTAGCCGCATATGACAGGGCTCCTTTATAGCTACGTTTTGTTACCAAGGCTCATCTTTTGTCTGGGATGCACTCTGTCAGGATAAGTTTGTAATGTAGTCATATTTCAGTACATGCAGATGCAACTTACGGCTGTGAAATGGAGAATCAACATCGCTGGGACTTTGGAAACATAACATTAAAACAAACAAAGGATACGCAAAGTGCCGTTCTTTACTTCCACCATGTAAACCGACTAAAACATATTTACAGCTGCGACTGTTGCAGTGCAACATTTTTTTTAAAATAATTTAAGTCGTTATAACCTGTTGATTTCAGACACATTTCGAGGTGTTTGGCATTTATTTCTGATAGAAGTTTCTCACTTCTTTAAAACAAGAATCCTTGCCCCTTTGAAGATATTTCATGATGATGACCTTTGAAGATATTTCCACTTAAATCCTGAGGAATGTTTCCAAGTATTAGTCTCTGACGAGTCTTGACCCCGAGGGCCTGTCTCTTTCTAGGCACCTCATATTGATGGGATATAAGACGTTTTGGCAGTTTCATATATTTGAACCCGCCCTTCTCCTATCTCCTGTCTGTCGTGTGTGATCTTGTTCAGAGTCCCTAAAGTTTTACTGGAAATAGGAAGATGTGTTTCCCATTTCACAATAACTATGCAGAAAATTTCCAATAAATTTATGGAGGACGTTGGCACTGCGCCAGTGTTGGTGCATTAAAGAAGTCGTGACATGCTTTGTGTTCATTCTAACACGCGGTCTGTTCATTTCCTCCTTGGCAGCAAAGCATGTTCCACAAGATGCTCCTGCAGGTTAAGTTGGGCCCATGAAAAACTTTTACTGAAGATTAACGACATGTTGGGCTGTCACAGTTAATCCTGTGTTAATAACTCATAAAGCTGCACCGGTAATGTTGCATCCTTTAATCAGAACCGGGAGATGTTGTGAATAAGCAGCTGTGTGACTCAGCTCAACTTACAAACCGTTGGCTAAAGGCATGGGTGGAGAGGGCTAAAATGGCTTTGTGATTGGCTGCTCCAAAGCCTGGTACAGAATAATCGAGGATTATTTTGAATTGGGTATCATATGAAATGAATTGGATCCCCCGTTAAGGCTGTGTCTGCCACCTCTTTTTAAAAAAAGTTAAAGCTAAGAAGAATACGCAGCTTTAGAGGCTTTTGTCTCAGTTTCCTTTCGTGAGTACATGATAATTGATATGTTGATTTCACTTGAATGGCACCACCCTTCCTCTTGAATAAACACAGTTTCAGAAAAATATTCATATGACCAAATTTCAATAAGATCCCCCACCCCTGCACTAGCTTCCTTATTCCTCCTTCTCTACTCTTACTTTTCCCGGATCTTGTGTTTCAGGGCCAACCTGAGCGACTCGTACTTCACCAACAGACAGGACCGGTACGTGCTGCTGGAGAACTGCAGGGAGATCGCCGACTTCTTCTCCGACCTGGTGGAGGCCGTGGGAGACGTCTCCCTGCAGCTCCAGCCCGACGACTCAGTCACCATGCTCGAGGACATGGTGCACCCGTACAAAGGTAGAAACCGAACACTCCTGTATCCCTGGCCTGTGCACAGAGACAGATGTTTACCCTCAGCATGTTTTGACAGCATGTGACACTCCATGCTCACTTGCAGCCTGTTTTCAACTCCAGGAGTTTGCTAATGGAGCTTGAAAGCTTAGACAAGCCAGATGCAGGCCAGGGAGGAGAGCTCTGTGAGAGTACAGTGAGGAAGATGTAGAGCGAGCTCTTGCGGTTGGCTAGCCATGGAGCCGGATGTGAAACTGTCAGGGTTTTGTCCACACGCACACGCACATGCACACATATTTGTACAGTGTGTCCGTAACTGGAGTGCAGGCTGCCAGGATGTTCGTTTGAGGGATGAATGACATCATGTCTGCAGGACTGGACCGCCATGGAAACGAACACCAGGAATAGAGTTGTGATGTCACAGTGTTGCTGGAAGAAGATATGAAATGGGAACTGATACACACACATAATTAATTCACAAACATGCACGTGCGCGCGCACACACACACACACAGACACTGGAGAAATTCTAGTGAAAGACATTTGTGAAGATGACTGATGAGATTTGTTATTGATCGTAAGAATGGCGTTAAAAGAAAAAGTGCGTTTGTCTGCAGGCAGAAGGTGATAACTGATGATTTAAAGACTGTTTAAAGGCTCACGTCATGCAGGTTGCTCACCTGTAGGGTCATCTGTCCTAACACAAGGATGAGCAACATGCATTTGGTGTTATCAGAGGAATGGCACAAACAGACTGCAGAAGCATTCCAGCTAATGTGTTGACACGAGTGTGGTTGTTGATATAAGGAACTCCAAAAAGGGAGCCTATTACATTAATTTCCTGCTCCATAATTTTATCCTTGTACTAGAGTAACTTTGCATGATTCACAGTTCAAAATACTCACACTGAGTGCTGCCCCTCAGTTCATCCTCTATCTGAAACAAGCTCTCTTCTGATTGGCTGCCCATAAATGGTTTTAAATAGCAGGTTCTTCTTCAGTGACAGCTGTGTGCCTGTGACTTTTAGCAACTTTTTCCGTGAGGTGCAGCCATACATCCATCCTTTTTCTATCCGCGTCAGGGGAGTAGCAGCCTAAGCAAAGACCTCGAGACCTCCTCCAGCTCATCCAGGGGAACTCAGAGGAGTTCCCAGGCCAGCCGACAGGCATAACCTCTCCAATATGTCCCAGGTCTACCCTGGGGCCTTCCGGGGACATGCTTTGGACACCTTGTCCAAGAGGCATCTCAGTCAGATCCTCAAGCCTCCTTAAATGGCTCCTTTACTCTGAGTACCTCCCAAATATATACATAAATAAATAAATAAATTTATAAACTAAATTAAATCTGCAAATTCTCTGATATAAACAATCTCCCTGTAAAATAATAAAAATGATCATACAAATAGTACAATAAAAAAAATAGTATAAAACCGTAAGAACAATGTGAACATGGTCCAAATGGATCATTAAAAAAGCTCAGGTTTTGCAGTGTTATGGTTGCAGTGCAAGCTTTTAGAGAGGAAGTGCAAAGCTTCAATGTTTGGACACGTTGTGTCATTTTGCTCTGTGAACTGGCCACGATCTCAGTCCTCCCCTGATGTCCTAAAATGGAATGCAGCCCTCAAAATTAAAAAAGTGTCAGCGTTAAGCTAACGACTCTGTAGGCAAGAGACTGAAATGAGTGCTGTGATTTAACTCAGTTTTAATGAAATCCATTTCAGTGTCTCATATCAGAGAGCTGGAAAGATGTAGGCGAGTTTAAATGTTCTTTTAGGTGGATGTCGGTTTGGAGCTCCATGCCTGTGCTGTAAATTTAATGCAGGAAACCTAAATGGTATAAAAGATGGACTTTCGAGTGCGAAAAGTGAAGTGACTTAAATTTGAATTTTTTTTTTAAATGATCACTGGGTGGCGATCATTTTGGTTGCAGAAAGGTTTTACAGGAAAACAACGCTCGGCCCCAATCTTGCCAAACAGAGATCGTCACAAACCGATGGGTGATGTCTCCAATGTTTTGTGCCGTTCATGACTGTGAATCCATTTTAAAAGGTTGGGATTGCTGATAATGTGGCGTAGCTGGAAGCTCTACTTAGCATGAATATAGCCATAATTTTTAACTCCTTCCGCACTGTTTATTTAAACCAGGGGCCAGAATTGGCCTGGCAAAAACAACAGATGTGTTTTTTAGATTGTGTCCACTAGGGCTGTTCAATATAACGATATATATCGGATGACGATATAAAAACGTCTATCGTTTCATTTTATGCTATCGTTTGTTTCGTGGTGTCGCAAAATAAACTGTTTACGGCAAAATATTTTTTTCATCGTTTGATGGTCACTGTAGTGGCTATATTAATTTCTTAAAGTTCTCTCTTTCTCATATATTTAATATAACCACACTACAGACGGACAAGCGCCTGTTTTTATCGGTTGTGGTTAGCAACCACGACGGTAACAGCATCGCGTGTCTGCTTGTTTATGTTCCACATAACCTTTCACAATAAAGCTCAAGATCCTGTTGAGACTTTTCAAAATAAACTGAATCACGTGAAAGAGCAGATTATTTACAGATGAGAAGTAAAAAAAGAGCCGCCAGGTGCTAAAAAATAAACCTTAGACTCAAACGTTAGAACAGGCTGTTCCCCGCAGCACGCCGTGTAATAATTACTCACAAAGAAAACTGTGGCCTTTACAACTTATGTCTAAAAGTGTATCGTTTCATGCATCGGTTAAAACACTCGACTCCAGCTACGCGTCATGTAGCTGGAGTCACTTCCCGCAAGACGAGCTGCCCGAGATTCACAGAATTTACAGAAAATGTTACATTTTTGTGATTTATATCGTTATCGGACGATAGAATTCTTATATCGGGATATGAGATTTTGGTCATATCACACAGCCCTAGTGTCCACAGTAAAATATATAAATAAATAAAATAGCAGCTTTTCTCTGAGTTAACAAAAACTTTCTAAATTTATAATTCAGTCTGGGCAATGAGCTGACAGAACCTTTTCTCTAATTTTAAATATTTATTATTTACAATTTAAGCCTAAAGAGTCGTGCTGACAGATTTCTTTCATTAATTACAGCAGCACTTCTTTATCGTGCAGAAAAACTGAGATGCACTCCTGAAATTTAAGGAGCTTAGAAAGAAAGTGACTGGACATTTCACCTATCCTTTGAGAAGCTTCTTCAGTTCTAAAACCAAATGCGGGAGAATCCCAGGTATTTAATCCCTAGTGGGAGTTGTCCCTTAAGGGAGTTTTTATGACCCTCTATTAATCATGTGCCTCACGACATGAGCCAAGGTGTGACAAAAAGCGTGGGCTGTTATTAGCAGAGGTTTCAGCTGAAACCATTGTGAGGCCTTGCTTCACCCTATCAAGTGACCTATTGAGATCACCTGACGTGAGTGGGGGTTGAGGCGCCTGGGAAGGGATCTTAAAAGTATGTGGCAGAGAGTTGTTGTCGTAAGCCACCTCATCTGTTCAAAGATGGTCGTTCACAGTGGACATAGATGGCTTTTACTCCTTTCTTTAATCCATCTGTGGGACAACTCCCACTCGGGCTTAAATACAAAGAAGCTTCTCGGATATGAGGTGAAACATCTTCATGAAACGTTTAAAAAGTCCACTCACTTTCTTTCTAAGCTTCTTAGACTGTCATGACCTGGATAACTGAGAACCTACACAGACATACTCATGATATCGCACTTCTTTTTCTTGCATTGAGGATTCGCAGGGATTAAATGTGCAGTTAAACTACTTTACATTGACAGAAAAGGGATTTTCACCTTTCTGGCCCACTTAAAGACAAAGCTGTATGTGACCCATGATGTAAAGTGAGTTTGATATCCCTGATCCAACCTTAAGCATTTTTTAAATGTTATTCGTGAAAAATTGTCATTCAGAAAGGTTGTTGCTGTATCACAGTGTCACTGTATAACTGACTCTATTCCTCTACAACATGAGTACCACGACCACATGACCGAGAACACTGTGACCCAGAGATCAGGCTGACCCGTCTCCCACTTGCAGTCCTCTAGCTCCACACTCACTCCTACTGTATCTCTATGGCAACTAGGCAACCGGCAAGACTTCTCGGCAGTGGCGAGGAAGCGGATTATGGAGGTTGTAAACTCGGCCCATATTAGGCAGCGGCTTCTGAACCAGTCGGAGGACTCTGAGGATGAGGGGATGAGCGAGGTGGAGGAGGACACCTGGGTGTTCCCGCTGGTGCAGATGAAACCTCTTGGCATCAGAGTGGACGAGCAGGTCACACAGGTGAGCCTCAACACCGCATCTGATCCGTACATCTGTAGTTAAAATGAACTTTTTGCTTTTTACGGTTTCAATTCTTCAGGAATTGAAGCCATTTTTGGTTATCGCGTGGTCTGAAATAAAATAAATAAATGCAGATTTCTGTCATTGTAATTACCTGACTCATTGCTTGTTTCTGTAAACGGTGATTATATTTAGACACCACCCAAAGGGCCATTGTGAGCGTGCATGAACCCTTCACTCATTACATGTTTTGTGCAGATGACTAATAAAATGATACATGACTACTGAACCATAAATCAAGGATAATTATTTGTTTCATAGTCACATATTCTGGGAATAAATATAATAAAATGATTGCTAGCGCAATATACTGTAATTTAGCCACCAATAAATGTAAGTAATAATTAAGTCAGAGCTGAACAATAAGGAAACTCTTATCAGGTTCCTGACATTATGAATCCATTACCAGCAATAAAAATGAATTTCATTCTACGAATAATTAGAGAAATCATTGTCTGTCAGCCCGATACTCTTCAGGCGTAATGGGTGTATTGATGGAAAGCTGAGAAAGTGCAGTGTTGAATTTGAGGTTGTTTGGATGAGCGGTTTGCATATTTTCAGTACAAAGTTTTTATGGTAGGTTATAAAATAAAATATACACTACTGTGCAAAAGTCTCGAGCCACTCCTCATGTCGTGATATCTTTATTGCCAGAAGTATTCACTCATCCATCCAAATCATTGAATTCAGCTGTTCCAGTCACTTTCATGGCCACAGGTGTATGAAGTCAAGCACGTAGGCATGAAGAGTTGGTCTCTCTCAGGAGCTCAGTGAATTCCAACGTGGCGCTGTGATTTTGTGGGAACAGTTGGATGGCGCCTTCCTGTTCCAACATGACTGCGCACCAGTGCACCAACCAAAGGTCATTAAAGAAATGGATCAGTGAGTTTGTGCAGGCCAGTCAACTTCTTCCACACCAGAGTCCTGAACTCACCCTGGCAGAACACCTTTCAGGGACTGCGAGGCAACGTCAGTGTCAGACCTCTTAAACTCCTAAACTTTGTGGAAAGCCTTCCCTGAAGAATTGACTCTGTTAGTTAACTATTGTATTATTATTGTTTGTAGAGTAAACAAGAAAGGAAATGAAATGATAACCAGGTTTTCGTCTCATTAACAGACTGTCTATGTAGTCAGCTGAATAAAATAAAGGAAAATTGGGGTTTTCTTCACTTCCTTTCTCTCGTCATCCCTCCAGCGTCTGCTGACCGATGCCGGACCCGAGTCTACTGTGTTTCTCACATCGGGTTACTTCAATCTGACCCGGGCGTACATGCGGCTGGTGCTCAAGGCTGGAGCCAGTTACCGTATCCTCACCGCCTCCCCCGAGGTCAATGGGTTCTTTGGGGCCAAGGGCATCGCTGGAGCAATCCCTGCAGCGTACACTCACATCGCCAGGCAGTTTTACAAACAGGTGTGCCAGGGGGGCCAGCAGGAGAGGGTACACCTGCATGAGTACCACCGACCAGAGTGGACCTTCCACGCTAAAGGTGAGCGACACTAAACTACATATACTTTATACAGTAATGTGCGAACGTCTTAAGCCAAAGAACCTAATTGGTTCTTTGCCAAATTGTTTGTTCTTGGTTGCCTTTTTATGTTTGAATGATTCATAAGTCAGTATTAAGTGACTTAACTTAATTCCTGGGATAACAAAAGGCTTTCAGGAGCCTGGAGAACTGTTGCTCAAGAGCACTTTAAAAATCCCAAGAAAGTCTGGCTCCTTGGAAGAAACATTTCAAGAAATGAGGGTGGATCGAGATTTGTGGACAGTAATGTAGCTTCCCCCAAACTCAGCTGTTCCCAGGAATCTGTAACTAGATGATCCAGCCATTCACACACACACATCTGGTAATTAGTGCTTGAGTGACGCAATATTAGAATTTCAAATCATTATTATTATTTGTTTTTAGATGGGCTGTACATCAATGCAGGCCCTATTTATCTGTTAAATCCATGAAACCTGATTCACTCCGGTGCTGAAATTGGACAGGAACTGCAGTTGAAGGGTTAGTCTCACTTTTATTAGTCCCGAAAAAGGAGCAAACTTAACATCCTGAAGAGATCCTTCCACTTTTTTTCATTGTTATAAAAGGACAGATCAAGTGCATCTCAAATGTTTGATTGCATTATGAGAACATGCCAGAGTTTGGACTTCATTCAGCCTGTTTTTCTCCTTTTATTTTCCACTAATATGTCCAAAATAAATGTATTTATCCCTTGACAAATGGAAACAACTGTTCAGTATGATTGCAATTTTTTTTCTTTTCCCCCCTCACATGCAAAAAAATACTCGCGGATCAACATCTGATGAGATTTTGCGAGTTGAGCCAGGACTGGACGTCTAGATGAGCTGTATTTGTCTCAGTGAAAATAATAAAACACATTACTCTCGCTGTTCTGCCTCCTCTGCTGTTCTTCTTGTGGTCGCAGCGGTATGTAGCGTGAGAGACGAGGACTTGTACAGTCACTGTGTTGTAGCCTCGGGACGAGGATGCACACTCACTCTCTCTCATATTTTAGGGTTTTGGATCTGCTCTGGGGATTTCTGCATGTGCTTCCTTTTAGTTGTGGTTTAGGCCGGCAGAAATCTCTGCTGGAAACGGCTCTCTGAAGCATTACCTCCTCGCTGGCTCACTCCTTTTCTCCTCTCTCACAGGTCTGTGGTATTACCTCCAGGGGCAGGATCGGCCTTGCCTCACTCTAATTGGCTCCCCTAATTTCGGTTACCGCTCGGTTCACCGTGACCTGGAGGCCCAGATTGCCATAGTAACGGAGAATGAGGAGCTGCAGAGCCAGCTGCAGGAGGTCGGCTCTTTATTTTCCACAAACCACAGCCAGACATGATGATAAATGAATGTGTAAGTCTGCGTAACTGAACGAACACCTGCGTTTTAAACTCCCAGGAGCAGGAGATGTTGTACCGGCGCTCCGCTGAAGTGTCCACCTCTACGTTCGAGCGGCCCGACCGCCACGTTAAACTGTGGGTGAAACTGGTCACGCCACTCATCAAGAACTTCTTCTGAGGTGCAGCCACACACGTGCACAACTCACTACACATGAAAACTCATTAAAATTTAGTTTTGAGTTCATTAAAAGGATGATTTCACTTTATTGCAGCTTATTTTCATTTTTGTGGGAGACAAAAAAAAAAAAGAGTCCAATTTGGCTGTGAGAGAACAGGGTAGAGCAAAATATAAATAATAAAAATTTATTGTGGGTGTTAGTCAATATCAAGGAGAGTACTCATGAAAACACATGTTGCTGTTCTTGAAGCCCTTTGTGGGCCAAAAGAAAGTAAGAAAAGGCGCTATTGTGCTCCAAAACACTCTTTTAGGATTGACTGTTTTTAGGCCTCTCCAAAAGGTTTTTGTAATATGTCACAAAAATCTGCTGTATTAGACTCAAACGGCTAATTACTTTGGGGTTTCTCACTACTCTCTATAAACTTGTTTGCTGTTTTTTGCTGGTGGAGGCCAAAAATGGAGCTAAAAGAGAGAGAATACTGGACTTAAATTCAGCATTTATAGAGGAAGTTGGCTCCGAATGACTCATCTGAAAGTTCAGATTGTCAAATAAAAGCTTTTAGAAGCTGATAATTTTATACAAACCGTAAACATTAAAGTGGGCAATCTAGTATATTGATCAAACCACAATCTGTAGTGGTGAAAAAGGTAAGCAAAGCTGTCGATTTACTGGGCGATCTACGCTCCTGCCCCTCGCCTGTGGCCACGAGCTCTGGGCAGTGACTGAAAGAGTGAAACTGCTCTGAGGGGTTGGTGAGCCTTAAAGGTTGAAGAGCAAAGACTAAGATGGCTTTAGGGAACCTCCTAGATGATGTGCTTACAGCATGTCCTACCATCAGGAGGCCCCGGGGCAGACATGCTGGAGAGAGTATATCTCTCCTGGCTTGGGAACGCTGTTGTGTCCCCCTGGAATACCTGGAGTAGGTAGCCAGGGAGAAGGAGGTCTGCATGTCTCTGCTTGGACTGATTCCTCTGTGACATGGATACACGGAAGGAAGGAAGATGATGTTGAAGACTTTGAAATAAACCTCTGTAAATGTTAGAGCTTCAAGCAGATCACTTGATGCGTGATGCTCCACGTCTGGCCTGCGTGACAAATTAACCCTGTCACAGGTTAATGTCACAGGTTGCTTCCTGATCCCTGACCACAGACCTGTAATGTCAGGCCTGAGACCTCTCACTGAGCCTGCAGAGGAAAGCTGCAGCAGCTGAGATGGGCTCTAATGTAACTTCCTGTTCCTGAACGACTTCAAACGCATTCTTCTTGAAGACTCGCTGGAAAAAAAACCTACGTATTGCAAACTTTCATTTTGAGGAAAAAAAAAAAAAAAGTCCTCAGGCAGAACGAGTTGAGTGTTATCTAAACGGTCATGCTTACACCCTGTCTGGTTGGCTAACTGCTTTTTTTGTTGTTGTTTTGATGAGTTAACAGAAGTTATTAGATCTGTGTGCCTCGTTAACTAGCAGCGCACCTCGGGTTTGACTTCATGCTGTCATCTGCAATAACAGCGATTACCAAAGCTCATTTTGAGCCGCGTATATTTTTCTGCGCGCAGACTAAAGTCTTACATAATCCATATGGCGTCAGTTATAATACATTTGCACACTGGCAAATGCAAGCATTAAATATGATGATGTTTTTGGGCGATGCATCTAGTTTCCTAAAACATTTTTACTTTTTTTGCCCACAGTAATTGTTTGTTTTATGTGACAAACTCAAAGATATTTAGCTCACCTTCTTTCCAAACAGAACAGAGGAGGTGTTTGCATTTGAGGAATGGGGAAGCGGAAAGGATGACTTTGTTTGCCTGTAAAAATGACGGTTAAGTACTAAAATATACCAACTTTTGGAACATATGCAAAAATTCAACATCAGTATCATCGGGTTATTAAAGACAACAGAATATTTCCTCGTAGCTGATTTACTTTCTACACCATCTCCAGTATTTTTATTTAGTTTGTCTGCAAATAAAGAGTAGACAAAATATAGGCCCAAACATTATTTACAGACACACACACACAGAGTAAAACAGGCTGCGGCTTCTTCGAAATGCCTGCAGTCATTGCGGTGAGTCCCAAATCGCAGGTCCCGTCCTCGCCTTCCCAGCAGCCCAAATCACCAAAGTGAGAGCAGGGACAGCGTGTCGGCTGATTCACCGCTGAGTGAGTCATCGTGGTGTTATGGTGATGATTTGATACTGAGGTCTGGGTAACCGTGAATCCTGTCAGGACTTGGCGAGAGGTGAACTCTCTTAAGGTTCAGCAGCTCAAAAAAAACCCTGAGTGAACAGGCTGCTTCTGCTTAGCAGAAACATTCAGGGGGACGGTTAAAGTTGTGGTCGCATCATAAACTGAAGATCAGCCAGGAGGGAAGCCTGTCAAGATTGCAGCTAAAGATTGATGGAAAGACAGTCAGCATTTTTTTCTTTTCTCTTTTGGTGGTTTCTGAGAACAGGAAGTGTTGCAGACTGGATACTGACGGTAAATGGGTGGTGTCTTATCACTACCTGAATAGAGTTGTGAAAAAGAAAATGCTGATTGATGTGCTGCCAGAGGGAAATGGACTAAAATAGGTCATCTTTCATTCTCAAACAATGATGTGTGTAAGAGTGTATTCAGGCCTATTGTTGGAGAAACAGTGGAGAGGGAAAAAATAGAAAAAAAAGTTGTATGTCCTCAAGTTACCGACTCTGTGACGCACGCTCAGGTCTGCGAGACTCATCAATGACTCCAGGCTCAAAGTTGGCCTCAACTCTTACATCATATTTAGATAAGAGAAAAGACTCACTGGTGTCTGTGAACTAAAAATGCAAACAGCTGTGCGATTTGATCCTAATCTCTGTGAATAAGTCTGAGCCACTTCAAGAAAGAAAAAGCTCTCACACGCACATTAAAACTCACACTTTTTACAGATTTGACATGTGCTATATGTCAGCTGTTTCAAACATCAGCCTCGAGCTATTCAGACCTCTTTTCCTGTGAAGGCCCAACACTGTGAATGCCGCCTTGAAGAAACTTCCTTTAAAACAAAATAAACATCTTAAGAATGAGTTCTGATTGAGCGTCAGCAAAAATCTGACATACCTTTTTTCTTTAGAAGTATTCAAACTGTGAGGCTGGCCGTGCTCTTTACTTTTATTTATCAGTAAAAGTAAGCAATGAATGGATCCTGATATTAGTAGTTTTGTGTTTAGCCTGTGTCCCGTGAATCTCATTCTTCTGTAGTTGCAAAAAAAAAGAGAAAAAGTAAAGCACTTAAACCACAAAATTACAGGATTCCTGATTAAAATATACACAGCAGACCCTGAAAGTAAAACAATGGAGTCAAATTTAACGTAGTTGCTTTTTTTTTGGTGTTTAAATTTGAGATTAATCATTTAATCTATACATTTATACAAGCTGGTACGGGTCAGTGCCATTGCAGTGGTTTCAAAAGGTAGTTGGCAGGCAACGCCATCATTTATATCACAGTTTTCTTTTTCTGGATCTAAATCAGGTTTTATTGTTGTGAAATTGCAACGATTTAATGGTTTTGTAGGGTCATATAGGTTCATAAATGCTAAAAATGGCTCGTATAGTATTAGCCATTCGACAGGTGTTGCCTGGCAACGTGATTACACAATAATATTTGATATAGATAAGAACCTTCAGGAGCCTAAGATGTAACTGTGTGCTAAGGCTGTCATCAGAGATTCATGCTTTCTAGTAAGATATTAGTAATAATTATTATTTAAGTGCAGTAATGCTGCATTTAGACCTCAAACAACCAGTATTAAAAACATTTAAGTATTAAAAACAATAGATGGCATTGCAGAGTGACCATTATGTAAAAATATTAAAATAGAAATGAATAAATGAAAAATCTGTTAAACATAAGAGCCATGCATGTTTTTAATCCTGTAAATTTTTAAATTAATTTCTCATTTTTAAAAACTGGGATGTTAAATTAATAGTAAGTAAACAAAATAAAAAAGCTTAAATATCAGTTTGTGTATTGTTTTACATACATCAGATTTTTCTGGAACAAAACAAAACAAAAACAAATCCCACCGATGATGTTGAGGAAAAAAGTGTGTAACAGGGTTAATAGGTTAACTAACCCTACGTGAAGGGAATAAATATGTGAAATATTCCAGCAGGCCCACCTTCTGTCAAACCTTTGTTTCACAGTTTGAAAGCATAGCTGGGGGGAGCTGGATCTGGAAGTCTGGTAATGTTTGACCTTGTGATTGTGTATCTGTAATTATTACAGAATTAACATGTGACTGAAATAAAAGCAGAAAGCCAGGCGTTTGGAAGACACTCTACACAACCCCACTGCAGTCTTCGTGATAACAAGTGTACAACTTCTTTGTTAGAAATCATCACAGCTACAAATGTTTATTAAACTGCTGCTGAAAATAGTCTCCATCATGTTCACTATTTACTCCTCCAGATGCAGGAGAATCAGGCAAGCTGTTTTCCACACTCTTCCTTTTCTCAACAAGTTGCACGAAGAAGGATCAGATCTGTTCACACAGCTGAAAACACTTAGTTTTCACAGATTAGACCGCGTCCTGTCCTTGCGTGCACCTACGACATGTAGGTCCCTGAGCTCATGAAGCTCAAGGCGACTCTGCATGTGATGAAAGCTGTGTGCTGTCAGGCATTTGTTGAAAGCTGTTTCACTACCTCATCAGGCCATGATATGCGACTTCAGTCAACAGGAAGGCTGTGATGATTTATTCTATGTTTGCATTTGAGAAATACATTTACGCACGAGTGCTCTATATCATTATTATTAAAGGTGAAGCACGTGCAGAGCATACGGGCTGCTGGCATACGTGAAGCTCCTCTGTCAGAGCCTTTGTTCCTTAATGGGATCACACGGCTCTGTTCCTGAAGCAAAGCAGCCTCAGTGACCCCAGCTACACATTCACCTTCAGGTCCAGGAAACCAGATTCATCATATTTACTTATTTGAAATATAAAAGTGCTGTTTTTAAAAAAAATGTTTTCTTTAAAAATACATTCTGGGTTTTTTATTTAATTTTTAAAAACTTTTTTCTTTGAATTTCAGGCAGACAATAAATAACCTGTTTAGATCAGTTTGTTCGCGCTCGCTCCTGTTTTGTATCCATCTGGCATTGTGATCTGTGCACTTGTACTGCTTATCGCCTCCTTTTTTTCCTGACGGAGGAAAAAACAAAACGCAGCCCTCCAACAATGGCTGTGCCGGTTAAAAAGTTCTTATCAGCAGCGCAGGCTGTCTATTGTTGGAAATTAGTGACAACAAGCTGGAGCCTCTCCAAACCACATGGGGTTAAAACGCAGCTGATGTCCACACAGCATCACCCACTCTAACCCAGCGTGGCGGATTGAGAAGGTCTCCTCTGCCCTCTAGTGGTGAAACTGAGATTTCCCCAATGCAGTGAACTTGCCCCACCGTGACCTTTTTATATAAAGTAGTCCCAGACCTTTTTACAGCCAAGACACTACAAGACATTTTCCAAGTTAATTTTATTTAGTCAGAGAAATATGAACTTTAAAGCTAAGGAAATGTAAACCATCAAAATCAGTTTGAACCTGAACTTCTGCCAGGTAATCGTCTTAAATTCATGTAATCACACCAACTTGTTGAGATTAAAAACAAACCCAACAACATATAAATGTATAGTGATCAGATTCTATTAAATTTAACATTTGAAATTGCACTGACAAAATTATATGGAAAAGTCTATGGAAGAGTCCAGGAAAGGACACAGCAAAGCTTCCACCCTGAACATATAAAATGTAACGCTGCACAAGGGCTCCAAAGTTTGTGCTTTGTGATGGACATTAACCGACTCATGTAAGCACTGAGAAGATGCATATGTGAATTAATTTCACCGTAATTATCAGACATAAAAGTAGAAGCAACAGGTCTCTTTGTGCCTTAAAGGAAAAGCAAAAAACACGTTTGTTTTTTTTAAGCAGCTAATGAATGCAAATCAAATATTAATCTAATTTATTATAACAGTTTATAAATGTGAGGTTATGTAACCAAACCTCATATTCCTGTTACTAAAATGCTGAAAATGCCAAAGGTCTTGTTGTTTTGTTGGAAATGATGTAAATATTAAAACAAAGGTGAGTTTAAGATGGATAAAAGTGGAGGCTCTGCTCTTTCTGCGGATCAGGTTTTTATTATCATGGAATTAAAACAATGTCATTTTTTTTAAAGGTAATATAGGTTCTGAAATGCTAAAAATGGGTCATATTAGCCCTTTGATAGTTGGTTGCCAGGCAGTGTGATCACATAATACCATATGATATAGATAAGTAATGTACCTGTGAGCCATTTGGTTGCTCAGTGCTCATGCAAACAGATATATTAATAATAATAATTATCATTTTAGTACAGTAATGCTGCTTTTGTAGGTCAAAGTGCTTAAACATATAAAACAGTCAATATAAAAAAATGTCTAACAGTAGATCACTGCTAAAGACCAGTCAGCAGTCCCCTGGAAACATGCACTTTGTTTGCATGTGAGTAGTTGCTGGGTGAAATCAAGTGCAGAGGATGCTGCACCAAAAACCTGCTTGTGGTTGCTTTGCATGCTGGCAGGTTGCCCCTAGTTTGCTTTCAAGATGCCAACTTGTTTACAAATCCTCACTACCTGCATGAAAGACAGAAACTGAAAAAAGTGTGTTTCAAACCAGAAACGGAGCATTCAGAGTAAAAGTTTGACGTCCCTGTGATAAAGCATTTCATCGCGGGGATGTCAAACTAATTTTACATCACAGGCCACAAACAGCCCACTCTGAGCTTATGTGGGCTGGACTCCAGTTTCTGTCACTGTGAACAAGTTTAACTACACATTTAATCTCTGAGATATCTTAATATAAGATAAAGAAGCGCAATTTTAACCAGTGTGTCTCTACACGATAAAGAAATGCTGGCGTAGAAAACTGTCAGCGTGAGTTTGGGCTTAAACCGTAAGGAATAAATTAACACAGGCTCATTTAGCCTGTGTTAATACTGCTGTTAACATGTATTGATGCCAGCTAGCAGGTGTTATTAATGCTCCATATTTTCTAATGTTTTATTCCAGCTTAATAAGAGTCTTTTAGGATTTTAGAAAAACCTTCAGGTTGTCTTCAAGGACAGAAATCATTTAGAAAACAAACAAAAATGGTGATAATGAGGAAGACCTCGGCAGTGCTGCCAGACTCTCAGCCTTCACATCATGTCCTTTATGATAACCACAAACCACAACTAAAAATCACTCGGGAATCAGCAGATTGAGCTGCTTTTTTTTTTCCGCAGGTGGCAGACAGTCCATTCTGGACATGAATTGAAGGTGGAGGTCGGCCAGCTCCTGTGGAAGAAGCACACTCTGGATGACCTTCAGCACGCTGGGAGCCGGCGTCCTCTGTGTGTCATAGGAAGTGACTGAAACACATGCACACACACAGCAGCACATGTATGTGGCGGACTCGGGAGGTAAATCCTGTTTGTTAAAGCTCTGGATCCACCTTCACACCGTTACACTCTTTATGTATTAACACATGACGTCATAGCACTGTGGGACTCTGGTTTTGTAGTGTTATTAACTACAAGCATAAAAAAAAACAAACATACTTCTGTTAACATACATACACGTCCACAGGTATGTGTTGCATGCATGGAGGAAAAAAGCAGGCACTTCATGTGTGAACGTCTCTGATCAGATGAAGGTTGTTTGGTGACGACCCCTCGATGAGCCTTTGACGCTGTGTTTACAGCTCTGCCTGCAGTAAAGTTGACTGTACAGTCTGTGTTATTGTTGTAAATTAAAGAGTGAATGTGTGGTGAGTTTTTAAAGTGTCCTCAAGCGTTTGATTTTTCTGATTGAGCTCGAGTTCAGCGATTCGTGTGGAAAAGCTTTAAACGAGAGATGAAACAAAGCTGACGTGAAAGGTTTCCTGAGGTTTGGTGTCTATTAGCTCTTTGTTTTGGTTTTTCTGCTCGACGACCACTCCTGCTGGTTTTTTACATGTTAAATATAAAAGAAAATGTTTTCTGAAGCTGCTCTGTTTGCTTTTGTTGTGTTCCTTATTCTTTTTGTGTTTTCAGTCTTTTTTTTAATCTTTTGTTTTATTTGTTGAATCCTATTCATCACTTCATTAAATTAACAATTCAGCCTCGTTTCATTAGTTGTTTCTTTTTAAATGTAAAGATTTTAAAATTTTAGTCTAAATAACAAAAAACAAAACCAAAGCATCCTTTGTGATTCTAAAAGAAAAACTGAATAGAAAATAGAAATCTATTTGACTTTAAAGTCAAAGTATTTTGGGAATGACTGACCTTGACAGACAGCTTCAGTGAGGCCAATGCGGAAATGCATTCTTTCTAATGGCCACCAGGGGCCGACATCTCTGGTTGCAAAAACAAATATGCTTGTATAAAAGTTTACAAGAAAACCTCAAATTCTCACTTGAATACTTTCCAGATGTGTTTTTGATCTTAGGTTCAAGTCATTATACAACATGAAGCTATTTTTGTAAAATAATCCCAATAAAGTTAAAAAGGGTTAAGCAATAAGCCTCCATCTTTCCTGGTGCCTCCACTAAGATCTGGCTTCAGTTTGGAACCATTTCAGCCTCTTGCAGCTTCAGGTACCTGAACCCTGTGGTGTGTTTTCCACTGCATTCAGATCAATCACTTTCGAGTTTCCTTCTTTTTTATGATGTCCCTTTGTTTTGCTTTGTGACGACAGCTCACACAGTGGACTGTAAAGCTCTGACAGCTGTCATAAAAATATCATGAATTTTGGAATTATGTGGGTGTTTGACCACAAATCTGCCGTCAAGTATGATTCAAATGTTGACTAATCGTCACTAGTGAACACTGCGTGAGCCACTCTTGCCAGTTGAGAAGAACACAGCGAGATCGACTCGTACTAATATTTTGCGGAGTGCGACACATAAGCCGATGTCTGATTAGTCTGCCTTCTGTCACAGCTCTAACACGTACTACTTCAGCCGTACCTTTCGCTGGAAGGGGAATTTCCCAGGTCTGCTTCAGTGCTCGTGCTTTCATCTCCTTGATATGCGCTGTGGTTTTCCAGAGTAATCAGGTCACATCAACATTAGCAGGATGTGGGGAAACTTTACAGAAGATAACGTAGTTTACTGACAGCTCTGCTAGAATGACTGGCTGCTTCATGAGTTACATTAGATAAAGGTGAGATAAGTGCTTAAATGAATGAGAACAGAGTATTGAAACCTGTGTTCGGTAGCTGGCGGCATGCTTTAGATTGAGGTCAAGTGGGACAGGGAGCACTGGAATTAAACCCATACAAAAGTTCATTTTAAAAAAAAAAAGGTTATACAAGATAAAAGGCCGGCTGTGTTTAGTTTATTGCAGCTGTTTGGCAGGATGAGGTTACAGGTGACTGCAGAGGCCACCATGTCCTGCATTAATGACTGTCTAGGTTGCATCAGGACACGTTAGTGTTTACACTACAGAAGGAATGCGGTCGAACAACCTCAGAAGGTGCTTAGAGAAAACTAATCGGAACCATTCTCACTTCATTTTAAATCAAACTTATTCATTACAAATGAACAATAAAACAACTTCAGTAAAATAAGGAAGTCAAACAGGAGCAGAAGATTCTTTGCAAACTTTTATTGAGACAAAAACAATAAATTACAAGAAATGTGGATAAATAAATATTTGACTATTTCTGTTTTACCTTCCTTTTCATGGACAGAAGATCAACAGTAGTAACAAAACGGGGCAGGGGGGGAAATGTATGGCAACAAACTAAACGCTGCTCAGTCTCGACTGAGTCCTGAGCTGAATCTTCGTCAGCTTCAGAAAAGTCAGAATCTCAGATTCTGCTGCTGTGCAGCTTTCACGAGGAGTCGTTTATTTTATCTCAAACTTTTCCGTCCAGAGGAGTGCACTATGAAGCAGACACATTTCAACACAACTCCAGTCTGCTACAGCTGTGATTAACTTTACTTATTTCTATTAATAGTATTACTGTTTATTTCCTTTGCCACTTCATCATATGAATTCTTATTTTATGAGGGTCAGGACTGCTGTCCTGCAGCATGAATGTCTTGGGTTTTCTCCAGGTGTGCACGTTAGGTTAACAGGTGCCTGTAGATGTGACTGTGAGTGTAATTAGAATGGCGATGTGTATTTTTTTATATGATGGTGAAGAACAATCACGTTTTCTATTTCTGTTATTTTTATTGGCATAATTGTAATATACTTACCAAGGGTCAATAGGTACTGTATTAACAATACTAAATACTAAAAAATATACTAATACTAAAAAAAACAAAAACTCCTTACAATGATTTAGGAGCGATCTGGTGACAGTCCATTTCCAGCTTGATGGTGGACCACACCACAGGACAGAAGTGATAACTTCTTGCTGGTTTCCAGATCAGATTTACGTTTTGGATTTGCAGCTAGGAAAACTGCAGACCAATTAAGATCTGCAGAGACAAGCAGGAGCACTGAAACGTATTGTCGGCATCGTTGATTTGAGCGCCTTGAAGCGACTGTTGTTGTGATTTGCCGCTATGTAAATAAAATTGAATTGAATTTGATTGAAGTCACTGTAAACACACAGCCTTTTTTGAGCAGGTTTTCCTGTACTGCCTTATGTGTTGTTAGTTTATCACTGGGCTGCTTTTTGCTGTTGATTTTAAACCAAAACTCTGAACAACAACAACAAAACAACTTCAGGCTCGCTACCTCGCTAACTCATTAACCTCGCTTCGTAGCTCACTCCTCTGGAGACGTGAACTGACAACATTTCCCGCGCTCTCTCTGTTTTCAGCAGCTGTAGGGACTTGCTGTACTCAAGCAGACCAAACACTGATTGTGCGAAAAGGCTCAGAGGTCATTCAAATGCTTGTCAACAGTCCTTACAGCAGGTTTCAAGATGAGCGGGAGAGCTAACCGGAGGGCACCGCAGCATCGTTACAGTACTGCAGCAGCAGGACTCTAAAAAGGTGACGTTTCAGCAAACAAAAGAGCGGTCTCTGTCTGAATAACATTAGCTGCAGATGGGAAATAAAGTGTCGGCAGGAGGTCAGACCTGTAAAGAAGGGAGCGCTGGTTCTGAAGGTGTGTCTGTTGAAAAGGGGACAAAAGACAAGCCGCTTTAAGAGGTGAATCCTCCGCCAGGTTCAGGTCTGCAGCGGGAATGTCAGGTCCACCTGAAACAGGCCTGCGGTTGTTTTATCCTCAGCAGCTCTACAGCCCCTTCAGGGAGGAGACCTTCTTCTTCCGAGCAGCTAACATCTCATAGAACGGGTCTTTGCTGATGGCAGCCCTGCAGAGAGAAGGACAGCAGTTCCACTTTTTCTTCATCGTCATCATTAGTTTGACCCTCTGCAGGGAGAGAAAACAAAACTGAAACTCACTTGATGCTTTTGATCCATTCGTCCTTCTCCTCCGCAGTTGGGGCGGAGATTCTGTAGAAAGTGTGGTTTCCCTCGACGACGCGGCCGTCTGCCTCCGTCTTGCAGGCCTTGATCACCTGATCTTTGTGGTTGGGGATGAACAGCTCGAAGCAGTTCTGAGAGAGATCATGGTTGAGGCAGGAAGGCGAGTAAACAAGTTACATGTGTGATCGGTTGTTTTCGCTCTGTACTGAACGTGTTCAACGCTGTAATAAAAACTTTATATAAACTTTATATAAACTGTTGATCCATCAGCAGGATCGAGGTGGACGGTCACGTGTTCATTGTTCATTTGCTGGAGTTATTGTTGGGTACGTTGTGGGTTTTTTTTATGCTTTTTCAGGCTTGCACCTGTGTAGTATATGTACTTTTTTTTTAAAACCCTATTTTTGGATAAAGTCATCAAATGTTTGAAGCCAATGGAAAAAGTGGCTAAATCTCTGGCTCCTCCAGGTACGACTTTAGGCTTCCTCCAAAATTAAAAATACTTGACGACCACAAGAGCGACCCCACAGCTTGTGAGCAGATGCACGTATGTTACCATTTTGAAACTCCTACGTGACATCGTTCTTGATTTACTGTGTTCACAAGATTTTTATAGAACTTGGCCTCTGACCTTGAGGTCGAGGTCACTCAGATTGAAGCTCGTCCTAACTTTTTATTAGATGCACGGTATGAATTTCAAAATCCTATGTTGCCTCGTTCTCAAGTTGTCACATTCACAAACTTGGCTGTCCATGCTGAAGATTATAACCTTTAGTTTTTAATTATGCGTCCATAATAATCATGGGAGTAACTAAGGAAAACATGCAAAATAAGGACTAGTATCACAAGAAAATCAAAGTCATCATTACTTTGGAGACATGGTTACACGGTTTATTTTTGCTTTGCTTTCAGCAGCTCCCTTATTAACAGAGGGTCGCCACAGCGGTTAGCTCTGCATGTTTGATTTGGCAGATTTATGTGGGATGCTGTTCCTGACGCAAACCCAAAGAGATTTGTGTCCCCTCCTGTTTTTGCCATCTTTTTCTGAACTCTGAGACTTTGATCTCTTCAATCACAGGACAAAAACAAAGAGAGCAGCGGTTTACCGGCTTCTTTGAGTCCTCGACTTCTCTGATGCTTAGATTTTCCAGTGGAATAATCCCTCTGGGTTCTTTGTCCTTTTAAACAGCAGAAAGAAAAAAAAAATAGTTCAGGCTGTCCACAGTTACATCCAGCAGTAATCATTTATTTTCACAGTGAAACAAGTACTCACAGTGGTGTATTCAAAGTAGTAGAGACAGTTATCAGTGAGAATAAACCAGCGCCGCTTCCAGGTCTTTACTCTTCCACCTGAGGATGGATTAAAGGTGAGTTATGACATCAGTAAACTGAATGCTGATGTTGACGGCGACACTCTGAAGCACACTGATGACACAATTCAGCAGGTTAAGTAAAGCCTACTGACTGCAACAGCTGAGGTTAAAATGTGAGTCAGTGGGCAGTTCAAGGAGTCCAGCAGTTAGAGGCAGATGTGAAGCGCTAATACCTTCACATCAGGACATGATAGTGAAAAGCAGCAGGTGAACCGGATGTAAAAACTAATTATCACAGTAAAACTGTGATGGGTAGGTGAATGCACACAGCCAGTGGCAGGACAGAAATGACGGGGTGGTGGGCAGGGGCAGCTCAGAAAGCAAAGCGGTGCATTAAAGCTGGCGAGTGTGAGGATACATACCTCCTGAAGTCAAAACCATGAAACACAAACAGACAAGAAGAGCGTCAGGAGAGTAAAACATTTCACTAAACTTTGATTAATGTTTCAATAAAAAGATCTCTCGTCGTCTCGTTAAAGCCGCTGTTACATATCTGGTCCACTAGAGGGACGACCTGTTTGTAGAAACTGAACATACCGAGTTTGAGCAGCCACCCTTCTCTGTCGGGGTTGAAGAAGGTGTGTGTGAGGTCATTCCCATCATCCTCTGGGATCTTAAAAGGTTCGTTCTTGATGCTGTCGTACAGGTTCTGCATAGATGGTGACATCATTTAGATCATGCGGGTAGCTACTATTTATCCTTACCTTTATCTTAACTTCTACTTATTTACAACACAAACATTTATCAGCAAATTTCAACTCTGGGGTTATGATTTTTCAAAATAAACTTAAGTAAAAACAACAAATACACTCAGAATACAACAGAATAATGTGTTGGCTACTTCAGCTATGAAATAAATAGAAATGGTGTTTACACGGGTGAAACTGTTGCATAATAACTTATTAAAAAAAACTCAAACACAGGAACATTTTCAAAGTGTATCATTTATACATTTTAGACATGTTCACTTGAGCCTTTGCCAGGAATTTCAAAAAGCTGAAACCACAAGCTGAACCCCCATTTTACTCCTTTAAAAAAGCAGTTTCTTGGTAAATAATTTTTAGTCATTGAGACACCCATTTGTGATTAACAGCCTGAGATGTTTTAAAAATAATTGGAATTTAGCTTTTCTGCATCATTTGTTGGAATGTGTTGTAATGAGGGACTTTTACGTGCTGTCTGGACCGTTCAGTTTGAATACACTGACATTTTTGAGAAACCTTCTTCTCGTCTCTACCACAGAACAGAAAAATGAAGCATCTCTAGCTCATTCTTCGTTTGTGGTTTCTGCTCAGACTTTTGGCTCCATTTGTGGTTGAACGTAAGGTGCTAATGTTACACTGATCAGGAATGTAACTTCAATATGACGCTTGGCTTGCAAAACCACAAGGTCACAAACAACAGCTGCAAGTACCTATTATCATATCATGTGTCACGGTTATAATCATAACAATCACAGCTACAGTCATCGGACAGCCGGTGCTTTCCAAGTTGTTTAAATGTCCACCAGAAACTCCACAGGGCATTCATATTTCCACACACATGGACCATCAGATGTGCTGTTCTGTCTGAATTCACAGGGCCTGAACACATAGTGAGTATATCACACAAGGCGCTGTGGACTTCCTGAACTTCACTCACCCTGAGCAGGTCCTCCGGTAGGTCTCCTCCATCATTGATTCCTCTGTTCATTGCTGTGAATTTCTGAACAGAGGGTTTGTCCTTCACGTTGGGGTTGTGTAGACTGGTGTTCAACATGATCACGGCGAACGACAACACGTAACAGGTATCTGCAAACAGACACAGTGTGTGTTTGTATGTTTTCCGAGTCAGGCTGTTAGAAAGACCACAGTGAGTTTAAACGATTAACTGAAAACCACTGAGGTGCTGCTATACCTTTGTGTAGAGTGTTAGTTAAAAGAACATTACATTCCCAGACAACTACAGTCATAGTTGGTTGTATGTATTTGTTCACTATCAGGTCCATCCAGTGCAGACATAGAACACAGTGTGCTAATTATCAAATAACACCTTACGTACAAACCGCATGCTATACTTTTCCAAAAACCTGTGTGCTCTGTCCAGTAAGCAGCACAACCTTCACCTATTTGCACATTCCTCATATTACCCATGTCAGGAAGCAGAAGGGAAGATCCTCGTGTCTGCAAGTCAAAATATCTTTGAACAAGATGGTGAACTACAATTTTCCCCCAGTGCATCAGTATGAGACTTTGTGTGTGATGTGTAAAAACTGTGTGGTGAGTAGGTGAATGTGGCTGAGTGCTCACTAAGAGTAAGAAAGCAAGAACTCTAGAAGTTCCTGAGCTAAAGAGAAGCGAAGATAAGTTAACAACAAACAAAAAACAAACAAACAGGTAAATCTTTATATTAAAGTTAGTTTAATATGCAGGTCCTGGCCTAAAACGATGACATTAAAATTATTGTAACTTTTGCTTTGCTTCGTATTTTAGTTATGTTTCTGTGAGTATTAGATAACACATTTGGATCAACTCGGTCGTTTAAAATGTGCTGAATAAATAAAGGTGACTTGATTTAAACGAAAAACGGAAATGCGCATTAAACTAAATATAAATCATTACTGGTGTGTTTTCCTGCTCAGTGGCAAATTGTAGAGCCCTACATACAGTGTGTGAATGGAATAAATGCTGTAAAAATGTAAAAAAGATGGAAGAAAAATGGTTTTGTTATTGAACAACTTCTTTATTTTCACTCTGTAATATGTAAAAACTGTGACCATAAACTGTTTTTTCCTCACGTACCGATGCTCTGAAACACTCCGGGGTTGCAGTGACAGTATCGCCGAGCAAACGCCTCCATCATGCGGTCGATTTTCTGGGCCTCGCCGGGCAGCCTAAAGCTCCACAGAAACTGCCTGAGAGCCTGAACCAGGTTCAAGTCTGTGAACTCGTGAAGCTCCAGGAAGGCGTGCAGGACCTTGATGTTGAATTCATCTCTGCACGACACATGAAATCCCACACACAAACACACACCCACGTGTGCACGCACACAGGAGTAAACAGAAGAGAAACTGTGTCAGCTCTGTTCAACTCAAGAGAATCAAATTAAAGGATGCTCTTGTTGAACTGCTTATGCACCAAAATCTATATCCAGTATACAGCACAATTTCTCCTGTAACACACAGAAGATGTGGTAATAATAATAATAATCTGGGGTTTTTTTAAACTGGCCTTTTATTACTTATAAGGAATAAACTTTTTAAAGAGGAGTGAAGAATAAAATGTGAGATGGTCTGAACTCCTGTTATTGTCCATGTAGGCTCAAGACTGTCCTTTTTTTGATAGCACATGTCAAAACTGTCTACTGGAAAGGACATCATTAATACTGCTTACCTCTCGCCCAGATAGTCCCCGATGGCGGTTTTGTTAAGCCCCTCCCCCTTATACAGAAACTGGGCAATGTCTTCACTGGTGTTTTTCAGCAGCGAACAGTCGATCAAGAAGCGAATGCCCTGAGGAAGAAAATCAAAACACACACCCCAGAACGAACATCACACACTGAATGAAAACAAGCAGTTCAGAGAAGTTTGTAGTTCATTTTAGTAATTTTGTATGGGGGAATTTTGGTTGTTTTTTTTCTTCTTTCTACCCATTCAAGACCAATAATCCATAAAATACAGTATCACCTGGTTGTTCAGGGGTAGCGTCAAACTGTGGGTGCGAACAACCAGGAGTAAAAAAAGTACACAGAGTACATGGCTTTAATAAAAACAAACAAACAAACAACCAAAACAGAGTCAGGGTGTCAAATTTAAAGACCAATCACACTAATGGTGTTTCAGGAAAAGGCTGGAGTTACATTTTAATACATGATGCAAATGCAAAAAACAAGGTTTGTGTATTTTATATCCTTGTCAGCTGAAAGAGGACACTTTTCCTAAACTAAACTAAAACAGACTGATAATCAGTAGCTGAACTCACATGAAAGAAGAAAGCACTGCTGCATAAATGTATTTACCTTCGCAGGATCCATGTTGAACTTTTTTCGGCCCATGGCCATCTGTCTATTCCTTTGCATGTTTTTCCTAAAATAACATTTTAAAAAACATAAACCATTAGTGTGTAAATCATATTTATTCATCACCAGTGAATTTAAATTTTCAATGCCAGCCCAGCTCTCTGTTACAACAGCCTGGCTTTTATCACCTAGAATGGAAAATATTGGATGGATTTTTTTTTTGTTTTCTTAGTCAAAGGAAATGTCTGTTAGACCTGCCTGCGTAGCACCGATGTTCTAAAAACAACCTCAGTAACAGTCATGCTGCCCATGTTGTGCAGAAAGTTATTTCAGCATATATGCAAGTTCACTTCCCGCCTGGGGGCGTCTGTATTCAGTAACGGTCGTAGGCTAGACTCCCCTGTTGGGACCTATGGGATCTTCGATATCGAATATCTTCGATATTGATGCCGAAACATCTAGTAGTTCAGAGTTCCAACATTCGGAAGAAGGGACTGCTCTCATAGCTAGAGACTGACGAGGTACAACGTACATGCTACAGCAAGGGGGAGCCAGGACGACAGGTCAGGGGGGAGATATCATCATCTCCATATGAGATTGGCACCAAGTGTGATAGAAATTGAGTGTGACAGGAACTGACCTGAAAGACAGGATCATGGTGAAGCTTAAAACCCAGATCCTCCATGAGAATACATGAAGTACTCTCAGATACAAGATCAAGGGAGGTGCCTAAGCCTTGCTCTTGGAAACTGCCAAGCAAAAACTCACAGCCTTGTGGTCTGCGTCTGGCAGTAGAAAAGAACAAAATGAACATTGCAGACATCGAGGACAGCTACAAGTACCTGGGGATCCCAGGCAAATGGGAACTACTAAGAGGCTGCTAGGAAAGCTGCAACTACTTGCAGAAGGTCCTGAGGAGTCAGCTCAACGGTAAGATTAGGTGATGCCCTGCCCATGACCCTGCGGCACTAATCATGGCAGTACAGGAACAAGCTCTGAGCACAAGATCCATAAAGGCTGGGGTCTATCACACCAGGCAAGACCCCAGGTGCAGGCTGTGTAAAGACGCCCCTGAGACAATCCAGCACATAACAGCAGGGTGGAAGATGCTAGCAGGCAGGGCACACATGGAACACCATAACCAAGTAGCTGGCATAGATCCTGTGGGACTTCCAGATACAGACGGACAAAATGGTAGTGGCTAACCAACTAGGCATAGTGGTGGTAGACAAACAGAAGAAGACGGCCATAGTGATAGATGTAGCGATACTGAATGACAGCAATATCAGGAAGAAGGAACACGAGAAGCTGGAGAAGTATCCAGGGCTCAAAGAAGAGCTGGTAAAGATGTATAGGGTGAAGGTAACAGTGGTCCCAGTAGTACTCGGAGCACTAGGTGCAGTGGCTCCCAAGCTAGGCGAGTGGCTCCGGCAGATCCCAGGAACAATATCCAAGATCTCTGTCCAGAAGAGTGCAGTCCTAGGAACAGCTAAGATACTGCGCAGGAGCCTCAAGCTCCCAGACCTCTGGTAGAGGACCTGACAAGCTTGAAGGATAAAGGATGAGAGGGGAATTATATGATAAATATAGAAAAGAAAGACATTTTCCAAACATAACTGCCAGTGTTGTCATGTTTCTTTGTGAAATAAAGCCAAACTTCAGGATGTTCTTCCACCATGATTTCTTTATCTTCTAAGTTTCTAGTGGTCCAGACAAATCCTCTTTATGTTATTGTTATGCAATATGCAGCTCTCAATAAACATGTCAAACTATTTTGACAACAGTTGACTGAAACCAGTTTGTGATTCATATCCTTAGTGAATATCTGCCTTGAATGTCAAAATAAGCAGTCTGAAGACTTTTCATGTCCCACAGGCAACCTTAATTGGGCTTATATTCTGCTAATTATCTGATGGATTAATCAATAATCCCATAAGGCAGTGCTCTAATGGTTGGACAGATTTTTTTGGTCTTTTCTCTGACTAGAAATCCTCCAAAACAAAGGCTGAGGAGAGTGCTGCTGCCTACACACAAGCACAGAAATGGTAGTTGAGAGATACTTTACCTCTCTTCAGTCAGGCCCAGGTTTTCAATCTCGCTGGTCACCTCTGCTATCTCATCCTTCAGCCTCTGAGTGCAGACAGAAAGAGAAGGGAAAGAAGTGATGAAACAGAAGGGGGAAGGAGAAGGGATCATTATTTTGATTGTTTTTTTTGAGTACAGAAGCTGAAGGGAAACAGCAGCAGACATCTACATGTGCCATTTGTGTGATATCTAACCCTTCAGAGGAGCCCTCTGGAGATGCTTTGATCTTGCTGTCACAATGAATTACACATGGTGGTCTGTTCCACCTACATCTCACTGACCAACATCCATACAAGCACTTCCCACTAAAGAGATGACCCACTAAAACCCCTAAAATTGCAGATATGACTCACACACTCGCAGACAGACTCATCATTTTTCTCTGCTGGGTTACATGCAACAGCCACCCTTTAAAAGAAACCTCTCTGGGATCTGTAACACCTGTTCCGGGGTCAGAGCCTACAACCCCTCCTGTCCCCTCTTTCCCCCTTCATACCACTCCCCTCCCCGCTGCTGACCCAAATTTACCAGACTATACCCCCACACCCAATGTCAACATTGGTGGGGAGACAGGAATACGCAGGATCAAAGACTTTTGATTGCCAAGGGTCCTGAGAAGAGAAAGAAATAAAGACACAATAATAACAATAAAAGGCTAAGATAATTACAGAAAATGGACAGAAGCAGATGAATCGGTTCTTAGACATATGAGGGTGTGAAAACAAGGCTACATCACCATCAGCTAAGGTAAATAAGAACTGTGTCCTCTGTCTCCACTACTGGAATATTTCATGGCTCATTACCCATCAGGCCCTGAGGGAAAGACAGGGCGGGGCTTAGTGAAGAGAGACGCTAAACGAGTCGACCTTGATAATAAACTCCATCCATCAGTTTACACAGTGCTGTTGCCTGGAGGCTGTGTGTTTGAGTGTTTCTTTGTGTGTGTTGTGGATGCCCACCACACTGACAGCTCTCTGCTATAGATCAGGCTCAAAATATTTTTTTGGCTTACCTTATTAAATCTCAGTTTAAAAGAAAATGTGCCTAATGTCACTTTTGTTTGAGTCATCTCTTGCTGCTGATATCATTCAGCAACTACCAGCAGCTACATTTCTCATTCTTCTGTGTGCTTGAGCAGGCCTCATCAAAAACCTTAAAGTATCAAATTCTTCCAGCGGATCACTTCCCTCTCAAAAGTAGAATGGGAGGGCTGAGCCCTCAGCAACCAGGTCCCAGTTTGGGTTAAGAACAGAGACACACTTGCTTGGGTTTGTTTTCAGATTTGGCTTTTTGATAAAGACATGAGATATGCAAAGTGGTTAGGGTTGGTTCAGCTGACCCTGAACCATCCTTTGGTTAGGCTGCTGGAGGCGCAGGCTCTAGGGGGACATCCCATGATGTACTGGGAATTTCTTGACTTCTTTTCACATCCCACGTGTTTATATATTTCAGAACTGTGTATACAGTTTGCATTTTGTCCTTGTCTCTCATCCCGCAAAGTCTTCGTTAAAAAATATGTTGCTAATTTTTATAAATGAGTAAACAGACAAAGCAGGGCATGGTTTCTCAGTCCAATCAAAACTCTATATGTCTGGTTTGAAAAGATGGTGATCGTCAAAATGCTCAGACTTCCAAATGGAACTACACAAACCAATAAAGTACATTACATTGCACTGGCTATGTCCATCTCTTATATACAGTCCATTAGGGTTATGGTGATGGATTCTGATGTCGGTGGTCGACGATAGTGACAATTTGCCAATAAAGCTGATCTTTATGTCATTTTCCCAACAACGCACGATAATCTAAATAATCTTACAAGAGACACAAACTGAAACCAACAAGTTACTCCTGAGTCAAATTCATTGGAGATTAATTTGTTTCAGTTCTAAATGAGTTGCAATGACACTTGCATGTCCAACTTTATGCAAACAAGCATATAAAACGAAAACACTGTTTTAACAAACAATCTGACATATGGAAATGGACGGTGAGTCCTTGTTGTGTGTTGTGTAATTTTCTGATTGACTTTTATCCTTCAAGTGGGTTGAATTTACATTAAAGTCACAAGGCCAGCTTTATCCTCTATCTCACATAACAAATTTCTCCACATCAAGCTCTGACACAGGCAGTCCTGCTAATTTATTTAAGCTTGTAGAGGGAACTAAAGCAGGGGGTTAATGTGTCTCTCCAGGCTGAGAGAGCCAGAGGACACATGCATATTAGAGGTACATCCCCCTCAGACAAAGACGATCATCTGTCTTCAGTGTATACAGTAACGCTCTGGTGGTCATAGCCGTATACACCCTACCCTCCAAACACACACACACCTCCCCAGACACAGTGGTCTAGACTTGGAGGTGAAAAATCTTCTCAAGGACACACAGAGAGAAAAGAATTAAAGACAAAGACAAAACAACACAAAGCAGGGTTTGTAACTCCTGTGTGTCTCTGCTCTGGGAAAAAAAAAGTTTTGAAAAATAAAATGTTCCAGACAACCACAGGGTGCAGAGCAAGGACAAAAACAAAATCCTGTTTCATTGCTGCTCAGTTAAGAAAGCATTTTATCCAGGCAGTAATTAAGACAGAAAACAGAGACAGGATAAAAGAGTAAACATCCACTAGTACTTTCACAGAAGAATGGGAATGTGATTCCCCTATAATTATGAAATGACGTACAGGGACTAGTGGGGCAGGAACTCAAACACTTTACCAAACTAAGTTTCATCATGATTTTTAAAAGACTGTTAATTAATTCAGTGATAGCTGCCAGAGCAATGAATAGAGAGCTAAAAGAAATACTCTTAATGCAGTGTAACATCACTGATAACTGGTTCACATTACTATTAAAACTTAACAACCAGTTTTCCAAAATACTGTGTTGGGAAAAACACATATATATCCATAATTAAGGAAATTATCATTACATTAAATCTAGATTTCCCAACAGGTAAATGTGGGACACAGCTTTTACTCTAGTAAACCAGCTCCCAGTTTGGGTTCAGGGGACAAAGCCTCTCTACCTTTCTGATAAAGCTAATATAAGGGCTGGATAAATGATACCTACTTTATGCTGCTACAGAGCCCATGTTAATGTGGACCTGGATTATTTACAACTCAGTATTTTTATTCTTTGGATTCTAGTGCGGTAACTTGACAGGGTTTACAGTTCAAAATAATCCTCATTCATTTTATAAATAAATGGTACAGGTCCTTGGTTCATCCTCTGTCCAAAACAAGCAGTTTTAGCTCTTCTCCATTTAAACCATTTTTCTGCCGATTGGCTGTCACTTGCAAACAGATGGTTTGAACAACACACTTAAGATCACTAACATCATATAGAATCAAGAGCAAACTCGAAACTGTGCCAAACAAAAACAAATGTTTGACTTTAGACCATGACATTTAAAGTGGTGCAAAATAGATTTGCTTTTTAGCAGACCTCAAGGATCAGATCTTTAAGGGATGCTGAAATGCTGAAAGAAATAAGAGAACTTAATTTCAAACCAACCCTATGTACTTCAAGGGTCAGTAATTCAGTCGGTTTTCATTATGTGAAGGTAGAATTTTGCACAACTTTTTAAAGTTATTAGAGAAAGAAAGCAGCTGATTCAGAGGAGGTCAGGCAGGGACTTTTATCAGGTTTGACTGAATTTTAAAGTCACACCAGCACCACCTGCCCTACTCATCATGAGAGTTAAGAGTTTCTCGACTCTGATTAAATACAAAGCAAGCTGAAAGATAACTATCTAGCTATCAGAACACAAGGAGATGACTTTAAAGGTCAGTCAAATTTAAATCTGGTTTAAGTGTTTTTCAGGGGCGGAGGGGGTTCCATGGACCAATTCCTGAAACCTTTTGATCACATCTTTTTGGCACCAGAATTGGCCCAACCAGTGGAGGTAAACAGGTGCCAACAAAGGATCTGGTTCTGCTGGAAGATTACTCTTCCAACTTTAATAATAATGATTGAAATATTATGGATGGATGCTTAGTAAATGAAATTATATTGGGACAAAGAGTGGTTGAGTTTCTGATAAGATAAGATAAGATAACCTTTATTAGTCCCACACGTGGGAAATTTGATGCACATACAAGTGACTTTATTTACATCCATCTGGTCAAGTGGACATACCTATGTGCATCCAGTTCCACAATAAATTCGATTAGATAATTATAAAACAAGACATATTTCAGACTTTCATGCTTTAAACCCCAGATGAGCTCAGCTTGGAAAGGACATCAACTGGCTCGGACAAAGAATGTGAGTGTACTCTTACCTGTATGTCCTGCAGCAGCTCTTGTTTTCTGCGCCGGATGCTCTCCAGCTCCTGACGCTCCTCTGGACTCAGGTCATCAGGCACTGAGGACAGAAGTATACGCAACACTAAATAAGAGACCAAATACTCTCCCTCAGATAGAGAAGAAATACAAATGTGAAAATCCCCTCTGGAATCAAACTGAAATTAAACAAAAACTACAAGAAAACCATACACACAAATGAAGAACAGAGATCTGAAATTCCCACTGCTCAGGGTCACTATGGCAACACAATCTTTGATCCGTCATATACCCACCACACCACCCCACCACCACCCAAAATTCAGTCCTGAACTAGAGGAAGAAAGAAAACCTCTCTGTCTTATATAAACACACAAACACACACAATCATTTTCATATCTTAGTGACGACATCTCAGTGACATAATGCTTTCCCTAGCTGCTGACCCTAACCATCAAAAATGAATGCCTAACTCTAACCCAAAACTTAACCATAACCTAACTTTAACTTTGACACTAAAACCACATTTTGAGCCTCAAAAATGCCTTCAGACTCATGGGACAGGCAATTTGTCCCCATAAGTATAGTAGCATGCCAATCTTCTGTCCTCACATGTATACACACACGCACTCACTCACGCACACACACACACTCTCTTGGTGAGGTTATATTACTGCAGTGGTTGACAAACTTTTTCTGGCATGTCCCTTTCAGAGGTCAAAAAAGCCCAAGCACCATAGTTGTTACCAGCAAAAGGGAATAAAAAGTGAAATTAAGATCAACATGATAACATCGGTAGTAACTTTGTCCCAAACCATATTCTTCCTCTGGTCATCCACACAAGTAAAAACAAAAAAATAAAAAACAATAATACTATTTGCTATTTACTACAAAATAATAAGAGACTATAGTGTGAATGATTTATCCACATGAGCTCAGTACTTAAATCTCAGCATGTATTTAAATTACAAAAAACTGCACCAACACTCACAGCTCCTGGATAATTAATCTTAATAACTGATGATTCTTGCTTTTAAGGAAGGCCTTGGTGAACTTTAGAGAAAACTCTGCACTGACAGGTATAACAGCAAATTAAAACAGAAAAAAAAACCTAAAACAAAACAAAAACCAAGTGTGTATTAATAATGTAATTATGAAAGCACAACTATACACAACTAGAGGAAAGAATTTTAATGTTGGTCTGGTTTGATTAATTCTGTGATCACACCTTTCCCAAGGAGCCTTTATGACACTGTGATGAGTCTGTATGATGTATGTGTGCTTCCTAAATTTTATAATCTGACACATACAATCCATATCATAATAATAAAAACTGAAACTAATAGAAGACAAAATAAAGTAAAACAATAGATCTATCAGATCAGATTTCATGTACTATCATGAACTTTATAACATGAGCTGAAGGTTTTGTTACTGAAACAGGATGTTTGTTTTTGGTCTATAAAGAAAAGAAAAAAAAACAGTCAGACCTCACATAGAAACCTCAAAGAAAACATCTGATGACTAACAGTTGGCACATTAGACTTGATATATTAGTGTACCTATCAAAGTTGAATGGTGTTCCTCCTTATGAGAAACACCCCAACCGTACATGAACGAATGTGTACGCTGATAGAAGGGAGGTTCGTGTACCCACAGACACCCAATATATCTGCAGAACAACGATAACACAGGAACAGACAAGAGCTGCTGATACACGTACTTGTGGTTTTTCTTAAGAAAGCTTGAGTAGGAAGAAAAGGAAAGACAAAAAATGTAAAAACAACACATCGGGTTGGCTCAGGACAGGATTTTGTAGGTTCGCTATGATTATAATGTTATCTTTTTTTGACAGAAATCTCAATTTCCTGTTAATTTTGAGCATTGTTTAAACAAAAACTTCCATTTTGATTGAACAAACAAATCCCCAGATAAGAAACCTGGTTGAAAATATATGAACATTTTCATGATTTTCCTCTGGGACTCAGGCTCAGGGACCACAGCACCATTGTGCTGATGTGGAATATTTCTTGTTTCACACATACATATTTGCACACAGCTCACCTCTACATTGTCAACAGTGAATCTTCCTCTTGTCTGTGCTTCACAATAAAACTACTGTATGAAATGCTCTAACCTAAGAAAAAGTGGAAGAAAGGTCACAATTGACGTTGAAAAACAAGCAGCCAGAGAGGACAAATCACGCTGTGCTGCTGCTGTCTGTCGGCCTCATTAGAGAAGTCCTGCTGAGAGATTCAAGTCAACTGTTCACTTCACTTTGCCATTGTGACCATGTTACTGAGTGTCAACCTCTGCAGAAACATTTATCAAATGTTTAACACATAAGGTACTCTAGGCTCGTGTTAGTATGTTGTACAATATAACTAAAATACAAATTGTTAATCAGGGAGTTTTTACAACTTCTTGGAGTCTAAACGTTTTCACAGCCTTTTAGAGGCTGTTGGGATGCCCACCACTTTAAAGACTGGCGTGTGAAGGTTAGCTTTGAAAACCAAACTTGCTTTTTTTCTTATTTTCTGGTCGGTGGTAAGGTTGGCTTGAACAGGAAAGGAAGCTAGCTCCCTGCAAAGGTGTACAAGAAACTGATCAAAGAACAAAAAATAGAAACAGTCAGTGGCTGCACTTAACAGCTTCCCTTGTTTTTAATTGCTTGGGCTCCCCTAACTCTGAGGGCTTCTCTATTACAACTTCTGTCCTTTAAACGACAGGACCGAAACAGGCAACAAAATCCAGAAGTAGCCCAGAGACTACTTGTTCCACATATTTTTCACACTGCCCCCTGGTGACAGCACACAGGTACAACATGTAGCTGTTTTATATACGGTAGGCTGTGCGTAGGACATCATGACATAACATCAGACACATAGTTTTGACTGTATTTGTGAGGGGCAGCCAATCTGCAGAGAGATGGCTTAAAGAGTGGGGGAGGGGGGGGGGGGTTACGTGGCTTTGTGATGGCTGTACTGGAGTAATGTTTACTTTGGGTTTCTTCGCTTCTTTTGCAGTATCGTTCAACTTCACAGTGGCACACATAGTTTACTGGTCTCAAACCTGCTAGTCAGTAGCACACTGTATTATTTTTTAGCGGTTGATAAACAGCTTGTAGGTGCACTGCCTCTTTCAGGTGGTAGATGCACATTACTAACAGACACTGGTAAATTAAGAGAAAATATTTTTTTCGCTTAACATCTTAATGAGTAAAGCTTAACAACTTTATACAAGATGTAATCTAGCTGAGGACAAATCTTACAGATCATTTCTATATTATCAGTTAATACCAGACTGGACTATGAAATGTAAGTAAATTCCCACCAAAAGTTCTCATAGAAAACAAAAGTATGACAATCTAAGCAAACTTGTAATTACAGTACGTTTTTGTCAAACCATTTAAAAGACTTGGGACCTCCAGACATCTGTGATTCTGTCAAAATCCAAAAATGGCACCGAAGGATTTAATATAATTTGTATTTGTCAGACTTATAAACAGTGATGAACTGGCTAGTCACGCACACCCCTGACCCACAAAAGGAGGTTTAAGTAGGCTGCAGCAGCTCTTATTATAAACCTGAGGGCATAAACAACAAACTATGTGAGTATCGAGTCAGTGAAACTGGCATTCACACTGACTTCCCCTCTATGCTAAGAGAGGAAATAAAACAAACGATTTATGACAGCTTGTGAAAGAAAATATCGTCCTTTTCTCAAACTGACACAC